TGACAACATTACATATGTATGTTATACACCATGTATTCTTGACAACATTACATATGTATGTTATACACCATGTATACTTGACAACATTACATATGTATGTTATACACCATGTATACTTGACAACATTACATATGTATGTTATACACCATGTATACTTGACAACATTACATATGTATGTTATACACCATATATACTTGACAACATTACATATGTATGTTATACACCATGTATACTTGACAACATTACATATGTGTGTTATATACCATGTATACTTAACAACATTACATATGTGTGTTATACACCATGTATACTTGACAACATTACATATGTATGTTATACACCATGTATACTTGACAACATTACATATGTATGTTATACACCATGTATACTTGACAACATTTTATATGTATGTTATACACCATGTATACTGACAACATTACATATGTATGTTATACACCATGTATACTGACAACATTTTATACATGTTATACATCATGCATACTTGACAACATTACATATGTGTGTTATACACCATGTATACTTGACAACATTACATATGTGTGTTATACACCATGTATACTTGACAACATTACATATGTGTTATACACCATGTATACTAACAACATTACACATGTATGTTATACACCATGTATACTGACATTTCATATGTATGTTATACATCATGTATACTTCACAACATTACATATGTATGTTATACACTATGTATACTGACAACATCAGATCTCCAGATAAGCTTTTGGTGTTGTGGGTATTTTACCCATGCATTTTAAAATCATTGGGTATCAGTAATTCCATCTGGGTATTCAAATTTCTGTTACCCACCAGTTTTTACACATGTGGGTATTTAAGTTAAATATTTAAAAACACTATTCATCTAGTCCCTGCAAACTGGTGTCGTGTGGGTTCGAGAGCTTTATAGGACTCAAAAATACCACGATACTTCCACAAGAAAGTGTGATTGCAAATGATCATGATGTAACTGTCATCGTGGAGTTTGGCAAGGTTGACGGAATGCCCGTTTATAATTTCAAAATAAGCAATGATAAGTTGCTGATTTGCTAATCGAATACGCAGGGTTACTTCACAATATTTTGATGATACGCACAAGTTTTATTTTTGTAGCGTATCTGTAATGTTCGTTTCATATTTGATACGCTTTGATTTTATTTTACTGCGTATTTCTGCATTTCTGATGCGTATTTCACACAGATACGCAGCTTATCTGGAGCTCTGAACATTTTATATGTATGTTATACATCATGCATACTTGACAACATTACATATGTGTGTTATATACCATGTTTACTTGACAACATTACATATGTGTGTTATATACCATGTATACTTGACAACATTACATATGTATGTTATACACCATGTATACTGACAACATTTCATGTGTATGTTATACATTGATGGAAAGAAAAAAGACATCATTTAGTTAGTGAACATTTTCTCTCTGGCTTAAGTTGTTGGTACGAAGTATTTATATTGAACATAGAAGTTAACAACGTATGGCTATATTTCCATATGCCCTCTTTATTCCATCATGGGGCGGTCTGGTAGCCTAGTGGTTAAAGCGTTCGCTCATCACGCCGAAGACCAGGGTTCGATTCCCGAAATAGGTACAATGTGTGAAGCCAATTTCTGGTGTCCCCCGCCGTGATATTGCTGGAATATTGCTAAAAGCGGCATAAAACCATACTCACTCACTCACTTTATTCCATCAGACCTGTGAAGACTGGGGTAGAATAGGTCTTCAGCAACCCATACTTGCCGTAAAAGGTGACTATGCTTGTCGTAAAAGGCGACTAATGGCGACTAATGGTTGATACATGTCAATCACTGGATTGTCTGGTCCAGATTCGATTATTTTACAGACAGCCGCCATATAGCTGGAATATTGCTTAGTGCAGCGTTAAACAACAAACAAACAAACAAACTTTATTCCATCAGCTTATAAACATAAGCATATTACACACTGGTTTCTTATAACCCTCTGAAAAGATTATGTCTAGACTGGTTCCACCATTGGTCTGTGCAGCAAGCTTAGTGCCTACATGCAGCCAATAGGTGTCGACCAAACACTATATGTCTGTTATATGTGAGTATGTGCAGCATCCTTAAATACTGTCTTGATTAAATATGGATCCATGTCTATACCTCGAAAGTTTGTGTCGGTTGACAAGAAGTATAACAAACCGCAATAACAAATTTACTTCACAACAAATTTCATGAAACCCACAAGTGGTTTTCATTCAATACAGAGAGCCGATGAAAGCTGTGTTTAGTTTCATTCAATCACAGCCTAAGATAAATCACTGTCTACTCATGTATGTAGACAGGAGCCCACTCTTTAGATTCCTAGCATCCCAATTTTTAGTTACCTTTTTTGTATTGGTGAGTATTTTGATTGTATTGCATGTCGTATATATGCAGTATCCAAAGTCTAGACTTTATGGCTGTTATTGAACATCCTTGTAGCAGTTTGAACAGGTCTTTATCGAAGTGGACTTATTGACAGTGGGGGAAATTTGTATTGATCTAAGAGTAATAATTCATGCTTCTTTCAATATTACATCCTGTAACATGTGTAAGATAATCTATTGTCAGCAGTGACAGCTCAATGTTGCATTATGTCATGCAAACAGTAGCAGAGCTTATGAACAAACAGGCCTTGTCGAGCCATTTTCCTATAGTATTTAGTGGTCTTTATTGATTGCATTCATACTGAATTTTCTCCCTTGGCCTTGAGTCTTGCTTATCTTTTAGAGTGACATATGTATGTGAAATTTGATTACCATATCCAGAGCTCCAGATAAGCTGCATATCTGCGTAAAATACGCATCAGAAATGCAGAAATACGCAGTAAAATAAAATCAAAGCGTATCAAATACGCAACGAACATTACAGATTCACTACAAAAATAAAACTTGTGCGTATCATCAAAATATTGTGAAGTAACCCTGCGTATTCGATTAGCGAATCAGCAACTTATTTTGAAATTATAAACAGGCATTCCGTCAACCTTGCCAAACTCCACGATGACAGTTACATCATGATCATTTGCAATCACACTTTCTTGTGGAAGTATCGTGGTATTTTTTAGTCCTACAAAGCTCTCGAACCCACACGACACCAGTTTGCAGGGACTAGATGAATAGTGTTTTTAAATATTTAACTTAAATACCCACATGTGTAAAAACTGGTGGGTAACAGAAATTTGAATACCCAGATGGAATTACTGATACCCAATGATTTTAAAATGCATGGGTAAAATACCCACAACACCAAAAGCTTATCTGGAGCTCTGCATATCTTATCAGTAATGTAAACTGTCCATAAGGCATTAGCAATGTAGCATTATGCAGTTTCCACAAATGAAAACATGTCAGCCTTACATCATGTACATGTTCTTTTTTGTTTTTGTAAATAAAGATCTGGGGCATTCTGGGTCTCACTCCACATTATCATATGACCTTTGTGCTATGCCTGTGATAAATACATGTTAGACATGCTGAGGTAGAAGAGTTAGAGCATTGTTGTATTATACATTTATACACCTTCAACCCAGGAAATTACTGCCTACCCAGCAAGGCCATTATTCCGCGGCCATTAGTATTACAGTCTAGTTCAAACAAAAGTCCTATCCGTCTTGTACCTGTACCCGGTAATTCATTTTGCATAGTTCATGTTCAGATTTGTAAAAATCATAATTCGGTCTGTCATAATCAGGAAAGACCAACGTACTATTAGAAGCTACTTGTTAAAACTCCCAGTTGTTGATACTGTGTTGTGCTTTAACCCTTCAATCCTTCAATAATACCCCGCCTCCATGGTCTCTTGGATAGAACATCTGCCTAGAGAGAAGTAATATCGGTGGTTTGAACCATACCAAAAGATGTTAGAAGATGGTACTTGTTGTTGGGTTGCCTGGTGTTAGGCATTATGTTGATAAAGAAGGAGTGGTTGGTATACTGTTGGTATACTGTGTGAGTGGGTATCCTTTTTAAACAGTGGCCTAATACACATGGTTCAAGCAGCCACATGCACATGTATTCGTGCATGCACATAATCTTGAACACAGAGTTTAACACACCTATCTTCAATAATAAGATTTCTATCCTTGATTCCTTGCTTGATTTGATTAGTCCTGTACGATAACCATTTGTCATCACTCATAGTAATAAACTACAAGTTAATACGCTCAAAATTCCGGAAACAACTTAAGTCAAATAAACCAAACATCATCACATGCCACAATAATAATGCTTAAGACAAGACATTTGAGCAGAGACATGTAACAATCCGTCTGGCCTAGCAGAAGAAATAGTTGAACTACAGTTACAACAAACTCAAAGGGACCACTTATTTTAGTTCGTTATAACCGTAATTCGTTCCAAACATATATACAGCATATATACAGCAAATGGCTGGGACCCAAAAAACAGTTTGTTATATCCGCCAGTTCCTTATAAGCGTGTTCGTTATAAACATAGTTTACAGTATATCGAATATGAAAATATTGGCAGGAATGTGGCCTTATTGTTTGAAGAGTACAACTTGATATGTCCCATATTCACATCAGGCAGTTTATGGGACCCTACAATGATTTTATGCAGCTGTCATGTCCTGGGTATTGATCAGCTAAGTCTGTGATTTCTCATTTAATAAGAGGAGCAAGCCTCAGATCGTTACCCGGGATTGTGTTCGCGGCAATGTATTGATTGCACACTGAAGCCTTATTGCTAGTGTGATAGCCCAGTGGAGTCACCTTTTGCTTGCCAGGCCAAAGATCTCAGTTTGATTCCACATAAGGCTTTGACTTTTTTATACCAACTCACTCTTATCCAAATTACCCATACACCCATACAGCCATACACCCACCCACCCATCAACCCATCCACTTGTCCACAAACTCACCATGCTCATTGCCCTTGTCACACTCTCACGCCTTACAATCACGTTCTTTGCTGTAGGCGTCAAGATGGGAAGCCAAGTCGACCCCGCCTTCCGCGTGGTTACGCCAAACAGATCAGGCTTCTTTGTATGGAGAATTGAGGTAAGTAGTGTTTTGTTTGTTTGTTTGTTTGTTTGTTGTTTAATGCCCCACTCAGCAATATTCCAGCTATATGACAGCACTCTGTAAATAATCAAGTCTGAACCAGACAATCCAGTGATTGATGTTATGAGCATTGATCCACACAATTGGGACACGATGACATGCATCAACCAAGTCAGCAAGCCTGACCACCCGATCCTGTTAGTTGCCTTTTACGACAAGCATAGTCACCTTTTCGTAAGAGGCGACTAACGGGATCATGTGGTCAGTCTCGCTGACTTGATTGATGCATGTCATCGTGTCCCAATTGCGTGGATTGATGCGTGATGTCAATCACTAGATTGTCTTTTCGAGACTTGAGTATTTACAGACCGCCGTCATATAGCTGAAATATTGCTGAGTGTGGCGTTAACAAACAACCAACCAGTAGTGAGAAGTGAACATTCCCACAAACAGCCGCTTGAACCTGTGACCACTCCCACGCTAGCTGACCATTTGTCGTAGCTCAGGACCAGTGACATACAAATTACCAAGTTGTAAAAAAAACATTCCTGATACTGGAAAAAACACCATAGCAAACCATTTATCATTGTGTGCAGGTCGGCAAGGCCATCAGGTTACGAATACAGATGGTTCATAACTGCCACCAGCCAGTCAGAGCACATCAATTTTATGATCACTAGTCCTGATACGTTTTCACTGCCATCTGTCTGGTGGTCAAAAATATTTGCATCTGACATCTTCCTGAGACAAGGGAGTTAACTGGCTATAAAAGTCCAGTTTCCACCCTTGCTGAACTAGGCTGAAATTTTGGAGTTACAGTTTGGATAGACTACTGAGTCTATGCATTGTCCAATCAAAATCATGCAACGAAACTGACATTCGGTTTGTAAACAACATGGGGAATGCCCTGCAGATTTCGGTCGATTGCAGGATTTGCAAAACATGTACCGTCAACTTGGCACAGATATTTTCCAAATCTTTTTGTGTCTTTAGTCAAGGTTCTCAAATATAAGGGACATAACTTGTAAGAGCCATTGGTGGCGGTACGAGTGAACCTCGAAATTCCAGCCTAGTTCAGCGTGGGTGGAAACTAGACTTTTATAGTCCGTTGACTCCCTTGCCTTGGTAGATGGCACGCTTGTTGAAGCCTGGTTGCAAAGTTTTGTTATGAAGATATGTTATCTAAGACAACCTTCCCTCACATGCTTACTGACTGTGTATTTCAGGATATGAAGCCAGTCCAGGTTCCTAAGGACAGGATTGGTCAGTTTTACAAGGGGGATTCCTATATCATTCTCAGCGTGAGTAGAACTATCGATTATTTGTTTTAAAATGTGATTGTAATATGGTTTTGTTTATAGAAGTGAGACCTATTGATGACACACTGTAAATTATATCCTGGCTATTCAACTGCTAACAATGCAGTTAACAGGACATGCTTTGTGTGGTATTTCTCTGTGCTTTCAGTAAACCTGAGAATATTTGAGAGCTTGTTATCACAATATAAAGGTACAATTGCAAAAGAATAAAATGTGCGACTTTGCCTTGCATTGTTTTTGGCAACAGGTCCTTTAGAAGCTTATAATGAATTGTCACTTGGTGTCGAACTATTACATCATGCCACCATCACATATAACTATTGGTTGGTATAAAGTACAAACTAGCTCTATTATGAATAGGGGCATTGGTGGCCCAGTCATCTAAGGCCCCATGATTTACTGTGCAGAGTTGTGTCCCTTGGGCACGCCAGAAACCTATGACTGTGGGGTCGAATCCAGGTTCGCCCCGATTATGTTTCTAGGTTTGTCAGCACTATATCCGTGCTTGTGGGTTTCACCGAAGTGGTAAACGTCTGAGACCTGCATCACTTCGGGCTTTCCTCCCACATTAAGCTGACACGCCGCGATATAACTGGAATTCTGTTAAAAGCGGCGTTAAACCAAACTCACTCACTCACTCACTATTATGAATATCTATTCTCAACAAAATCAGTCAGGGATCATGCATCAAATATGGAGATTTATCATTAATGAACTTTCAGCAATGATGGTAAATGTGTCCAGTGCAGTTATTGCACCTTAGTGTTGATATGATATAACACTGGACAATCGACTATATAATGTTACATTTCTGATAATGCATTTATTGATACATTATGTAATTGTAGCAGTACAGGAGAAATAGTTACAATGCTTTAACATTGCCTTATTTAATGTTAGTACTTATGAACCTGAGGGCGGTGGGGTAGCCTAGTGGTTAAAGTGGTTGTTCATCATGCCAGAGGCATGGGTTCGATTACCCACATGGGTACAATGTGTGAAGCCCATTTCTGGTGTCCCCCAGCCGTGATATAGCTGGAATATTGCTAAAAGCGGCGTAAAACCATACTCGCTCACTCATTATGAACCTGACGGAAGTGTGTGTATCTGGCTTAATGAATACGTAGTGAAATGCAGACATTATAATGGAATCATTGCATGACTGATTTTAACCTGACAGCTAACTGCCCACGGACAGAGTCCTCGGGGACTCAATGTACAGGTAATATCGGTGCTTTGCTCTTAGAATTCAATTTTGTTTACACCTGCATCCATGGCAACCTTTTTGGAGAAGGGTTATCTCCCTAGTAATGGATAAGAATATTTTTTGCTTTGTTTTAGTTGGGTGGCAGCACTAGTCATTTTATTTTTGCATATTTTGTTGTCCAAAACCAAGGATTATGCACATCATGTGCATATTTGGAAGGTAGTCAGAAATATTAATTGATAAAAACTTGCACACTGATTTAATGCATTAATACAACTTTATTGATGATTCATATCCTGTCAAAAACTAATTATGTCATCAAGACAAGGTTCTGTTTACTGTGTGGATTTCTTTGATAACTGAACAATGAAGGAACATGGTAAAGGATAATGTAAACGTTAAATATTGTACATGTTCACAAAGCACCTGTTTGTCCCCAAGTCAGATCACTGCACAGTGGGTGTCAGGTTAGGAGATCGAAACTACAGATAGGGAACTGGATAATGCACACCCAGCAGATAGTAAACAGGATAATGCACACCCAGCAGATAGTAAACAGGATAATGCACATTCAGCAGATTGTAAGCAGGATAATGCACACTCAGCAGATAGTAAGCAGGATAATGCACACTCAGCAGATAGTAAACTGGATAATGCAAACTCAGCAGATAGTAAACCGGATAATGCACACTCAGCAGATAGTAAACAGGATAATGCACACCCAGCAGATAGTAAACTGGATAATGCAAACTCAGCAGATAGTAAACCGGATAATGCACACTCAGCAGATAGTAATCAGGATAATGCACACTCAGCAGGTAGTAAACAGGATAATGCACATCCAGCAGATTGTAAGCAGGATAATGCACACTCAGCAGATAGTAAACAGGATAATGCACATCCAGCAGATTGTAAGCAGGATAATGCACACTCAGCAGATAGTAAACCGGATAATGCACACTCAGCAGATAGTAAACAGGATAATGCACATCCAGCAGATTGTAGGCAGGATAATGCACACTCAGCAGATAGTAAACTGGATAATGCACACCCAGGAGATTGTAAGCAGGATAATGCACACTCAGCAGATAGTAAACTGGATAATGCACACCCAGCAGATAGTAAGCAGGATAATGCACATCCAGCAGGATAATGCACACCCAGCAGATAGTAAACAGGATAATGCACACCCAGCAGATTGTAAGCAGGATAATGCACACTCAGCAGATAGTAAACTGGATAATGCACACCCAGCAGATAGTAAGCAGGATAATGCACATCCAGCAGATTGTAAACAGGATAATGCACACCCAGCAGATTGTAAGCAGGATAATGCACACTAAGCAGATAGTAAACTGGATAATGCACACCAAGCAGATTGTAAACTGGATAATGCACATCCAGCAGATAGTAAACAGGATAATGCACACCCAGCAGATTGTAAGCAGGATAATGCACACTCAGCAGATTGTAAACAGGATAATGCACACCCAGCAGATTGTAAACAGGATAATGCACATCCAGCAGATAGTAAACAGGATAATGCACACCCAGCAGATTGTAAGCAGGATAATGCACATCCAGCAGATTGTAAGCAGGATAATGCACATCCAGCAGATTGTAAGCAGGATAATGCACACTCAGCAGATAGTAAACAGGATAATGCACACCCAGCAGATAGTAATCAGGATAATGCACTTGGTTAACAGAACAATGCACATGGTTAACACTCAGCAGATAGTAAACAGCATAATGCACTGTAGAGTGCACGGTGAGGGCCAGGAGGAGATCCAGACTACAGATAGTGAGTAGGATATTGCACACTATAGTGTAATGATGTGTCTTCCTTTTAGCTTCCTTTACACTACCTTCACCCTTACACTTAAGAAGGCTTGTGTCTGACTTCAGATAGTTGTGTGTGTCTCGCACCAAGCCCACCTCCACATAGGACATAGTGATATAAAGATGCAGGAGGTGATTAGTTGCCACCTGTGTAGACAGCCTACTCTTTCATGTTGTTTCACACACCTGTGCTCAAAGGAAGTTCAAAGGGGAACATGATATGTTTTATTTTAACTTTACAAAATAATTTTGGGGTTTCAGGTTATCCTTTGTTCAATTATACAGTGTATATTATTTTTGCAGTTTTTGCAGTTCAAGTAATGTGTTTTATTCTTGACATTGATAGATTAATTGACATTAATATCACCATTATCACCAGATAGGTTAATCAGAGGGTAGGGTGGCCCAAATGTCTAAGGCGCCATAATTTGCCGTCCAGAGTTGCATCCCTTGGACACACCAGGAACCTATGATTGTGGGTTGGTATCCCTGTGTACACCCCAATTATGTTTCAAGGTTTATCAGCACCATACCCGTGTTCATGGGTTTCTCCATAGTAGTAAACATCTGAGAACTGCATTACTTCAGGCTTTCCTTCCACATTAAGCTGACACACTGTGATATAATTGGAATACTGTTCAAAGCAGCACTAAAATCCAGTTCACCCACTCACTCACTGAAGCATCATTTTCAGATTTTCATGTTATTATATGACCTATTATGATTATTATTGTTACTATTATCTTAGCAAATTACTGAACCTCAAATCCAATCAGTATAGTTCTTCAGACAAATTAATCTGTAAATAAGGGAAGGGATTTTTGTGTGAGCCTTCCTGTGTGCCAAATACCCATAAAGTTGGAAAGCGAACGTAAAATCCCCATATCTCTCTCTCTCTCCTGTGGGCCTGACCAAGACAAAAATTAGATAATCAATGTACTTGGTCCTCGGAAATATGTATAAGTACTCTGTTTGTTTCTAATATGCATGATATGTACTGGGAAAGTAATATATTTTTAGGTCAAATGGTTTTGTTTGTAAATGTTTTTACCTTTTAATGTTGATACATGCAAGGGGTGGAGGAGTACCCGGGTGGATGAAGCATTTGCTCGTCATGGGAAGACTGGGTTTGATTCCCCACATGGGTAAATTTTGTACGGTGTTCACAATATCAATTACTGGATTGTCTGGTCCAGGCTTGATTATTTACATGACGCCATTATATAGCTGGAATATTGCTGACTGCTTTGTTGAGCAAAAAATACACACAAAAATATAAACAGTACACAAGATAGATGTGTTTCTTCCAGTGACACCAGGGTCATAGGATATGTTTCCAATGATGAAGTTTAACTATAAGATATTATGTATACAAAACACATGCGTTCAGTAAATACGCAGTATTGCTTCAGCAAACAGCCCTCATTGGTAAATATATATATCTTGAATAGCATTGATCCAAACAACAGCTGCTATTAAATCCAGTGTTGAATTGGAGTGATGTAATCTCTTGATAATAGAACTTTTTAGAGGATATTCGAGAACAATATTGGTTTTGGTATTTTAACAAAAATTATCATTTTCATATATTTTGGTGAAAGTTTTTAAGTTGTCCAGAGTGAATATCAATTGCATTTATCTGTTCTTTTTCATATTTTTTTTGTAATTCACATATGCATTATTTAGAAACCGTTTCCTGAACACTAACAATGTCTTAATTCAAGCAGAGGATTCTGTCCATGAACAGTCTTTGAATTTGGGGGATGGGTGACAGGTCACAGTTGTATCTTCGGGTGTGCCAGAAACCAAGATTCAAGGGTTTGAATCCCAGACTCACCCTGATTATGTCTCTAGGTTTGTCCGCACCATACCCATGGGAACCGTCAAGGACCTGCATCATTTTTGGCTTTCCTCAATATAGTTCCTGAGTACATGAGTTTCATGTTTTGTAAGTGTCTGTGGCGGTTCTTGTTTGCAACTTTCCAGACTGAAATGGTTACAGTTGGTGACCTGTCCGATTGTGTCTTCATACATCATACATAGATCATTGCTTATGCTACCCGGGTTTCCGGGTTACAATGTGACCTTTATGTGACCTCACTGATCGGATGGTCAGACTCGGTGACTTGGTTAATAGCGTGCTATCATATCCCACTGACGTGTACAGTTACTCATAATATCAATCACTGGATTATCCGGATTCGATTTATCATATACAAGCTGCCATCATGTTGCTGCAATATTGCTGAGTGAGGTGTTCGACAACAAATAAATAATCATTGCTGATGTCATCAATCACTGGCTGTGTGATACCCACTAATAGCTGTGATATATCTGTTATATTGCTGACTGTGGTATAATCAAATGCAAACTCTCTCCAGTGAGGGTGAGTCACAGGTAGGCACACATTCATTATCACCAAATATACTCACTCCCAATTGAAATGTGAACCATAGAAACATAAAACCATATAGAGAAGTATGTTTGTTAAGGAGAGATGTTTCCATTGTGTACCAATTAATGACAAAACTAACAAGTGTCTTTATTCTTATTTCACGATGCTGCTCGTGATTTTCAAACTTTTCACGCTAATCCTGCACGAGACAAATGGGGCATCTTGAGTCATGGATCTATGACGTCACATGTGATGCGTTCATGAGCATCAGTTCACACAACATACCAGGATGTTCATTTGTGCATCAAATCAATCTAATATCTCTTGAATATGAGTAAGTCTTCATATATAAACCAACATATATGGTATTCACGATTCTTTTGACAGTGAGTATAGAAACTGGATGCTGCAATAGATCGTACTCTGATTTTCCATGTAGCCAGTGTTGTGTTCGAGGAGTTGTATCAGGTTGTGTAGTTTTACAGCATGCAGAACTGTGTGTTTCAGATGAGAGAGGTGAAGGGGCAGAGACTGGAGCAGAACATCCACTTCTGGCTGGGCAGCAAGACATCACAGGTAGGCTTCTGACACTGCAACCTTGTGGGGATTCCGAGCTGGAATAGGTCCCCAGCAACCTATTCATGTCGTATGAGGTGACTTACTGAATCGATGGCCATTATAGGTGACTTTGTTGATAGCATGTCATTGTACTCCAAAGGCGTGGACCAATTCCATGGTCTAGTGGTAGAGCGTCTGCCCGGAGAGCGGAAGGTCTGGGGTTCGATCCCCGGCCGCTTCATACCTAAAGACGTTAAAAGATGGTACTTCTTGTTACCCTGTCTGGAGCTTGGCATTAAGGGGCTGAGTGGGGTATTAATGCGGCATGGTATCTCAGTGGGCTAGCACTATGAATGGGCATCGGTCCGGACTAGTTACAAGCAGACACACACACATGTGCATGCACGTCGCTATATAAGTGCAGTAATCTTTAAGTCGCAACGTTAAGCCCCATTTCTCCTCCTCCTCTTCCAAAGTCGTGTTTCAGTACCTATTCACATTGGCTTCTAATACTAACGGGGTCACTGGTGGCCAAGTCACCTAAGGTGCTGCAATTTACTGTACATCACTGTGCATCACTCAGGCATGCCAGAAACCTTTGATTGCAGGTTCAAATATCGGTTTGCCCTACTTATGGTTCTAGGTCTCTCTGCACCATGCCTGTATTCATAAGTTTCACCAAAGTGGTAAATGTCTGAGATTTGCATCACTTCGTGCTTTCCTCCCACAGTAAGCTGATACATCGTGATATAACTGAAATACTGTTAAAAGTGGTAAACTCCCTTTAACACGACTGCCATTCACTGCACCAAGTTGCATCCCTTAGTCGTGCTAGGATCAGTTGATCCAGGTTTTTGTCCCTGATTCGTCCTGTTAGGGATCCTTCCAAGTAGTATACCAATCGTGTCATGTTGTGCTTCCCTCACCATTAGACTGGTACACAGTCACATCATGGAAATACTGTTCAAAGAATTCTCTCACTCACAGCAAGTTATGGTGCTTTAAAGTGGAATTAATCTAGAATTACAAACTAAGTGCTCTTGGCAGGTAATTGGGATCTACATTGTTATTTTATCTAAAATTAGGATTTTAACATCATCTACAATGCAATAGTAATTTAAGCCTCATCATTGAAATACTCGTACAAGTCAACATTAGTTATATCTATATTAATATTAATTGGGACATTTTTATTTCCAAATTGGGAAATTTGACTGACATTTGCTGAAGATTTGTGGCTGAATACACATGATACAGGTTTAGATGAATCTGTGATAAAGCAAGTGTGTGTGTGTTGCAGGATGAGGCAGGAGCAGCAGCGTACAAGACTGTGGAACTCGATGACTTCCTGGGAGGGGCACCTGTCCAGCACCGGGAGGTGGAGGGCAAGGAGTCGGAACTTTTCCTCAGCTACTTCTCCAAGGGGCTCAAGTCAGTCCCTCTCACACTTGTCTACTTCCCTGGCCGAACTCTTTCTGTATAAAATATGTCAATTAATTTTCGGTGTTTAAAAGCCATGTATCCATTGTGAATTCATCAGTTACCATGATGTCACCAGCAAATGACTCACTAATCTCTCTGTCTCTGAAGCTTGGTAACTGAACCTTTTACACTCACGCCACAGGTTATTGCTGTTTACAAACTAAAAACTTGTAGGAATGATTTTAGATGATTAATAGAATCTTGCCCTCATCAATAAAGGTTTTCTAAAACTTTTATGGACTCATGTTGGTATATTTGATATCAAAAGACACTCAGGTGAGGTTCTCTAATGAACTGTTAATGCAAAAGTTCTGTCGCTCTGTTTCAGGACTATTGAGGGAGGCCACAAGTCTGGCTTCAACCATGTAGACAACACATTCCAGATACGCATGTACCAGGTGAAAGGCAAGAGGAACCTCCGCATTACACAGGTATGGTTCTTCCTTAACCTGATCCAAGCTGACAGAAAATATCACATCCCCAGGTTGATGAACGGGGCGTGATGATTAATCCATACACAATAAGTTAAATTTGTTGTCAGATATCAAGCAGTAGTGAACAAACTTTCTTCAAACGTCAAAGTTTTCAATAATAGCTTCCATGCAGTTATATATGAGTTTATAAACAAGACAATACAGACATTGTCACCTTGGTATTGTGACGTCATAGTTCTCCTAAATGTTATGACGTCACGTAACTATATGTTACCACTTCATGTCCGTTATTCAGTTATGGCCTGATGAGTCTCGTACGTGGTACGAGTTGAAAGCACTAGCAAATTAAGACTGTGTTCAATCTTACTCCACTTATTTAATTATTACTATATTGTGCCTGAGAGTTAGAACTTTAATGTGCTTTTTTCTATACAGTGTTGCAAACAATTTGCAAGAAAATAACATGTGTCTGTAATGTGTTACAGTGTATATATTGTACAACTTCATGTGTGTGATACAGGTTGATATCAGCTGGCAGAGCATGAACCATGGTGACGCCTACATCCTTGACCTTGGTAAGGTCCTCTTTGTGTGGGTGGGAAATGAGAGCTCCCGGAAAGAAAACTTCAAGGTGAGTCGGCTACTCTGAGCTGAAGGTTGTTTGTAAGCACAGTGGCAGGAAATAATCCTGTTTTACTATTACAGATGAATGATAAATTTGACTCAAGAAAGTGGCATAATAACCAAGTTTAATCTCGGTGATCTGTGTGTGAACAATGCAGTAAGCTTTGTTTAGCTGTGGTGACATAGTGAATATGTCTCCAATATAATAAGACTTGATGACAGGACAGTACATGCATCTTCTCCAATCACTTTCTTGTTGTAAAGTAAGGGTCAGATTGTTACAATGTTTGTTTGTTTGTCAGCAATATTCCAGCTATATGACGGCGGTCTGTAAATAATCAATTCTACTCAAGACAATCAGGTGATTGATATCATGAGCATCAATCCCTGCATTTGGGACACGATGACATGCATCAACCAAGTTAGCAAGCCTGACCACCAACCAAGCATAGTCACCTCTTACGGCAAGCATGGGTTACTGAAGACCTATTCTAACCCGGATCTTAATGTGTCTTGGCTGGAAGTGTCATTATACTCTGAAGGCGTTGGCCATGTTCATGCTATCAGCCTTTGGTTTGCCTGACCCAGATTTGAATATTCACATACAATAAAAATACTGGCTGGCGTACAACATTCACTTACTCTTTACTCTTTACTCTTTTCCAAACAATAATATTGCAATTTTTGCTTACAAATACACAAAGACATTTTTTAAAGCAGATTTTGATTTGTGTTCTTCCTGGTTGCAGGCCCTGGAACATGCCCGGTCTCTGCGTGATGAGCGCCCAGGGGGTATTGTCGTCGCGATCGAAGATGGACAAGAAGAGAAGATGACAGCAGATGAGAAAAAGGTTTGTGACATAGAGGGTCCCAATGTGATAAAAGTAGCAAAGTATCCCCATATTGTATGTATCTTTTTGTGCTTGTACTCAACCCTTCGCTTCAAAAGCAGTTCACCAAGTTAGGTTGTTTTGATTTTGTTGACCAAAGATTCAAATATTGCCGGGATCAAAAACAAAAACATGATTAAAATTGAATATCAAAATTTGTTAGTGTCTAAAAATAAATGAAACTGAATATTGAACTTCTTTAGTGTTTACCGTATTCGACGTAATAAGCGCTCAGAGCGCTCTCAAAATTAGAAATAGGGGGCTCTTATTAAAATATAATTTTGGTGAGGAAGACAGAGTTGAAAGATCATATATTTCGTGGTTTATGCCTACAGCCTGAAATGATACAAAAGAAAAGTCTGTGCGTATAATTGCCCATAATTAAGGGTGCATAAAACACACGAGTGCGTATTATACATGAATAAATAAGTGTACACTGATCAATTGAAAGGGGTGCTAATTGGGATTGTTCACAAGCCAATATATTAGCAAATATCGCTGTGGGCACTTATTACGTCGAATACGGTAATATGTAAATGTTTAGATAATTGTTGCTGGTAGGGTATTTCTATAATTTTCTGTTTAAAAAGTGTATAAATTCAGTTTAATTTTTAATGCTTGACAAGCATATGTTCAAACGCTTATTGAGAAATATGAATTATAGGAGAAAACTGGGTAGTTACAAGACTACTTGGCGGCAACTAATTGTGTATAATTGACAGTGAAGAGGACGTCTTTTGAAAATCTGAACATTTTAGTTGGTGTGATTGAAGCCAAAATACAGGATTTATGGCAGATATGTAATAGAGGTAGTAAACTTAGAATTATTAACAATGATAACTATTGTTCGATTATAGGAGAAGACTGGAAAAATGTATGAAAATTGTATCATCTATCTATAAGTGCTATAACCCGACATATTTTCCTGCAGCTGTTTGAGCAGCATCTCCCTCTGAATGAGAAGTCCCAGGTCAAAGCCTCAGATGCTGTTGCCACTGATAATCTGTTTGAAAGGAAGAGTGCAGAAAATATGAAACTATTCTCGTAAGTGTAAATATATTCACATTGTTACTGTAGATGACCCGTGAAGATCTGGGTTCGAATTAGTCGATCAGGTGGTCAGGCTTGCTGACTTGGTTGATGCATGTCATCGTATCCCAACTGCGTAGATCGATGCTCACTATGTCAATCACTGGATTGTCTGTTCCAAACTCGAAACAAACAAAATCAACTGGTAGACACCTGTAATGTTGCCATTATTACTTATACATTGTAATGTCAACAAACATTACTTCAATAGTATTTACGTATTTATGTATTTACATGACATCAACAATGCTGTAGAGTCAGTGACATCATTATTGCATGTGCTTCGTGTGACTTTTTAAAGTTGCTTATCTTGATCCACATGAAAATTCATTGATGTAAAAGTTAAGTTTTATGCCGTCAAGTTTAAGATGCTGTTTACCTTATAACTAAAATATATGTAAAGGTGTCGAGAGGAAGATGGGAACCTGACCATCAAGGAAGTGAAGACTGGACCACTATCTCGCAAAGATATGACGTCAGATGTAAGTCAGAATATATGTGTATCAAAGATAAAAAGTTTATAGAATATATAAAGTGTTACTGGTATATATATATTTAGGGATTGACTGTAAATATTTTTCAGTTCGAGTTATGAATCGAGAAACCAAAGATCAAACGGTATGAATCCATGTAACTGATTCTTACTAAAGCTTGCACTTTGTTTTTTCTGTGCAAAATAACAAAATGAATAATACTTTTTACTCTGATCAGGATTCCTTCATCATTGACTGTGGGCCGGAGCACATCTGGGTGTGGATCGGTAAACAGGCCACCAAGTCCGAGAGATCTGAGGCTATGAGGAATGCTGTGGTATGTTCAAATGTATCTCCTAAAGCATATATCACCTAAAACATGTATCATCTAACGCGTGTATCACCTAAAAAATATATCACCTGAAGCGAGTATCACGTAAAAGCATATATCACCTAAAGCGCGTATCACCTAAAGAATATATCACCTAAAGCTTGTATCACCTAAAGCATATGTCACCTAAAGCCTGTATCACCTAAAGCGCGTATCACCTAAAGCATATATCACCTAAAGCATATATCACCTAAAGCATATATCACCTAAAGCGTGTATCACCTAAAGTGTGTATCACCTAAAGCATATATCACCTAAAGCATATATCACCTAAAGCGTGTATCACCTAAAGCATATATCACCTAAAGCATGTATCACCTAAAGCGTGTATCACCTAAAGCATATATCACCTAAAGCGTGTATCACTTAAAGCAAGCACCTGCAACATTAGAACAGGGACATTTCATGTTTTGCTTTCCCTGATCTGATGTTACAGACTTTTTATGATGCTAAATGATTGATCGGTAACACTTACTAAGTTCTACTGTATTCTACCTTGACATTGAAGAATGCTTGATTCTTAATATTTTTCCTACTGAAACTGCTTTTAAATATTTAGCCTTTTCACACACAAAAAAGCGTATGAATACATCGATAGCCTACATATCAATTCATATGAAATGGCTGCATTCGGTGAGGTAGTGAGTTGCCACTGTGCCAGCATTAACAGAATAGACGCTAGGCCCCTAATACATGCGGGCCAGGTCAACGGCTTGCATGAAATTATTAGATGCCCGGGTGTCTAATAGAGGAAATACAGTATTTTTGATAAGTCACTCACTTTCAAATTAAAATAAGAGGTATCTACTCTACAGTGAGATGACATCATATTTCAAAACACAGTAGGTAATTTCCTAATTATTTTCTCTATTGCTGTAGGGCTTCATTCAAAAGAAGGGCTACCCAACCGACACATCAGTGACGAGAGTAGTCGATGGTGGCGAGCCCTCAGATTTCAAGTGTCTCTTCCCTGATTGGCCACAACCCCCACCCCCAGGAAAAGTCTACTCAAGGAGCAGAATAGGTGAGCCATTGTGATCTGACCAGTTGTAGGGTGGTAGACACAGACCCCACCACTGGGAAAAGTCTGCTCAAGGAGCAGAATGGGTGAGCCATTCTGATCAGACCAGTTGTAGGGGGGTAGACACAGACCCCACCCCTGGGAAAAGTCTGCTCAAGGAGCAGATTAGGGAGGGTTGTGGGGGGAGCCATAGTGACCTGACCTGTTGTAGGGTGGTAGACACAGACCCCACCCCTGGGAAAAGTCTGCTCAAGGAGCAGATTAGGGAGGGTTGTGGGGGGAGCCATAGTGACCTGACCTGTTGTAGGGTGGTAGACACAGACCCCACCCCTGGGAAAAGTCTGCTCAAGGAGCAGATTAGGGAGGGTTGTCGGGGGAGCCATAGTGACCTGACCTGTTGTAGGGTGGTAGACACAGACCCCACCCCTGGGAAAAGTCTGCTCAAGGAGCAGAATAGGGCGGGGTGTGGGGGGAGCCATAGTGACCTGACCTATTGTAGGGTGGTAGACACAGACCCCACCCCAGGGACTCAATGGTTGTCATTCATTGGAGAGGTGAGGTGGATGACTGGAGAGCAATAACTATTATGGAGAGGTGTCATTGAAAAAAATATGAAATTGTGTCACAGTGGGTGATGAAAATACTTTTATTAGAAGAGGGTTATTTTGTAATACATTTACACAATGATGATCCACATTGGAAACTCAAGACAGCCATTGGGGAGGTACAGTTAGTCAGCCCCATCAGTCAGTAGGCTAGCAACAAGGAAGGACATACAACTTTTGTTCTATAGGCTGTGATGGACTTTGGGCATTTTGATAAACATTTGTGTCTTGTTTTTGTAGCAAAGACTGTCCAGACCAAGTTTGATGCCTCAACTCTGCACAACAACACAGCCCTTGCTGCTGAGAGTCAGATGTTTGATGATGGTACTGGGAAAGTCGAGGTGGGTGGACCAGCAGGTGCTTGTCCTGTCAGGACTACAGGAGAAAGGAAATGACAAAGCATATGTTTAGATTTTAATATCATACAACCAACTTTTAAGTTACTTATTTCAGGGAACTTCAAGATGGTGTTCACATATTCCTTAATGTTTAGTTAAGAGATGACTTTCCTATGAAACAACTTGCATTGCTGAAAGTTTGGTGTATTATACTACTCCAAATAAATTTAGGACCATCCGAATCCTTCATATTACTATAGTTGGTCTGTCATGCCATGACAAATTAACTATAGTAATATGAAAGAACTAGGTGGTTCTTAACTTCTTTTGAGTAATGTAGCTCTCTAATATAAGGATTGTGTGGTCACCACGATCACACACTCACTGAATATACAGGGTGGATGGTTGCCAAGTTATAGCACTAAGTCACTCTTTCATTTGCTTGCACACATACAGGAAGCACACATCTGGTATGAAAACCATTGTGTCAGATGGGCCACGTGTAAATACCCTCTGTCACAGCTAGTTGTAGTACTGAGGGTGGGGACCCGTGAAGACCCGGGCTAGAATAGATCTTCAGCAACTTGCCGTAAGAGGCGACTAATGGGATAGGGTGGTCAGGCTCGCTGACTTGGTTGATGCATGTATGTCATCCCAATTGCATAGATCATTGCTTATGAAGTCAATCACTGAATTGTCTGGTCTAGACCCAAATATTTAGCTGGTATAATGCTTAGTGTGGCATTAAACAACAAACAAACAAAATGAGGGTAGGGTGAGTTACTGAGTGTTCATTGGCTTGTCACACCAAAGACCTTGGTCAATCCCCACATGGGTTGGATGTGTGAACTAATTCTTGGTGTCCATGCCATGATGTGGCTGGAATAGTGGTAAAACAGTAAGCCGTACTTGCTCCTTGAAGCAGGAGAATACTATATCAGTTTCAAGAGACTTGTAAGACAACGTCGTCTCTTCTACAGGTGTGGCAGGTACAGGACTTCGACCTGGTAGAGCTTGACAAGAACACCTACGGGGACTTCTACGCTGGGGACAGCTACGTCATCAAGTACACATACAAAGTCAATGGTCGCGAACACTACCTCATCTACTACTGGCAGGTAAGCAGGGAGATACATTGGATTGGGTGGATGTGGGGACTGGTGATTCATGGGATCGGGTAGGGGTCAGGGTGGCTGACAGATGGGATGTGGGGTGGCTGACAGATGGGATGTGGGGGTGGCTGACAGATGGGATGTGGGGGTGGCTGACAGATGGTATGTGGGGGTGGCTGACAGATGGGATATGGGGTGGCTGACAGATGGGATGTGGGGGTGGCTGACAGATGGTATGTGGGGGTGGCTGACAGATGGGATATGGGGTGTCTGACAGATGAGATATGGGGTGGCTGACAGATGGTATGTGGGGGTGGCTGACAGATGGGATATGGGTTGGCTGACAGATGAGATATGGGGTGGCTGACAGATGGTATGTGGGGGTGGCTGACAGATGGGATGTGGGGGTGGCTGACAGATGGGATGTGGGGGTGGCTGACAGATGGTATGTGGGGGTGGCTGACAGATGGGATATGGGGTGGCTGACAGATGGGATGGGGTGTCTGATAGATGGTATGGGGTGTATGTGGGGTATTTTGGGTTGTGGGTGTGTTATGGTATAGATAATGCCCTGTGACAAATGCACATATCATGAGTTTTGTCTTTTATAACATTGAGAAGATATAGAATCTTTGCTAATGGATTTACTAACGTTCAAGTTTCTTCAGTTTAAGATATACTTTGTCCAGATGATGTGCTATCTTTATTCAGAGCCTGGATAGATAATTAAAATTTGTTTGCTAACAAACAGCTGACTAGCCTATATGCATGTACCAAGCTTCTGATTGATTTGAATACTTATAGATTCAGTCACCCGAAACATGTAAAAGCAATAAACCCCCTTCCCAAAATACAGGGGCAAGGGACTCATATTTATCAGAAATTCAGTGACAGGTCAGTGATAGAGGCACCATGGCAGTCTGTAGCCCTGTGTGATCTATGAGCCTAATGCTGTGTTGCAGGGAAGCAAGTCTACAGCTGATGAGAAGGGAACGTCGGCGCTGAAGGCTGTAGAGATGGACGACGCCATCGGAGGGGCTGCAACACAGGTGGGGGACTGACAGTAATGCAAAACAACGACACATTAAGTGGAAGAAAAAGTATTGGAACAACGATCTAAAAGTCAAAGGGTTACTTTTCTTTTTTTAGGGCCTACTGTGAAAACAAATTTAATTACAGATATAAACATTACTGATGCTGCAGAAAGGAAAAAAGGCTTCTCAACATTTATGTTTTTGTCATTTTGAAAAATATTTAATCTATATTTAGGCAATAAAAATCTGAGAAGGGTGACTTTGTCAAGTAACTGATGAAATGTTCATCAAATGTCATCAAATGTTCATCAAATGTCATCAAATGTTGTCAAATGTTCAACAAATGTTCATCAAATGTCATCAAATGTTCATCAAATGTCAACAAATGTTCATCAAATGTCATCAAATGTTCTTCAAATGTTCATCAAATGTCATCAAATGTCATCAAATGTTCATCAAAGGAAAACATGCAGGTCCTACGTTTACCATGTTTACAACTTCCTGTTGTGGCGGCACTGGAATTGACATGAACCCATGAAACCCTCATATTCCAGATCCGAGTTGTCCAAAATAAGGAACCGCCACACTTCATGGCCATGTTTGACGGCAAGATGATCATCTTCAGTGTAAGTAGCCTCGGTAATGAACAGGGGGAGTCCGACTAACAGGTTGCTGGATCATGTGCCCTGCTGTATCCTATTAGAATGAACGAGATCAAAGCTAGCATTGATAATATCTGTCTTGTAGTAAATCCTATCCAGGGTTCTGAGAAGCTTGAACCAATGAAACGAATTGTTTACTGGTAAAAATATACCCAATATTTTACAACCACATTTCACCTTTTATGAACAAATGTAATTTTTTACAAGAAAATCTTGTGTGGTTCACAGTGTTTTCAGACGCCATAGAAAGTAATTTTGGTCCATTTTTCAACCACATTTTCATTGAAGACCATGAAAATTAGTTAATGAGTTTACCGAACCATATTTTTGGTGCATTTACTTGGAGATTGAACATATGCTTGTGTGTGTAGGGCGGCAAGGCAGGGTGGCAGAAGGGGGACAAGGATATGGGCCCAGGAGACAAGTACATGCTTCAGGTGCGAGGAACCTCCGAACTCAACTGCAAGGCTATTCAGGTGAGTGTCTGAGATTCAGCTGCCGTGAATCTGACTACCATACCATGATGGTGGGGTATCCCACGCTGATACTTTGTAAAGAAAAATTCTATATCACAATGTTAATTTTTGGATCTGATCATTGACACATCAACACAATGGAAAGGTGGCCTAGTGGTTCATGTGTACAGTTTGATCCATAAAACCTCTGGTTTGAATCCCAACATGAGTACCACCAACGTATTTATTGGAAGTGATCTCTGGACTTGACAATGCTTTCGGGGAGTTTTGATTTGTACCTTGTCACACTTATAAAGTTTGCAAGGGACTTAAGTAATGGCTTAATGACACAACTCACAACATAGTTATCTCCCTTGAAAGTAGTGCTGTCCACAATATTTGCTTTCGGAAAGAATCAATTGTTTCTGTCGTCAAGCAATGAGTCAATATTTTAGATTTTAGTCCAATCATTTTCCAATTATATCAGTTAATTTTAATCAGTTTGTGGTTGACAATAAAGTTGTGTATGAAACTTTTGCCATCATAACTTGTCCTAGTAAATGTTTGTTTACAGGGTATTGTACAATATGTTTTAATAGATTTGTGATTCTGTTTGTTGTTGTTTATTTGAAGAAAACTGATTAAGAATGTCATCAGTCTTTAGTTGGCTGTTCTGTTACGGGCCTAATCACTGTTTTAAACAATCATCGATTAGTTTTAACCTGTGCCCATTGCTACTTCAGGTGGACCTCTCCGCTACAGCGCTCAACTCCAACGACGTGTTTGTGGTGTTCACCAAGTCCACTGTCAGCATCTGGGCAGGAAAGGTTCGTGTGGACTCAAAAGTCGGGATTGGGGAAATATAAATCTGTTTGGATTCCAGTCTAGAGTACACTTTAATACTCATGCTTGTTGTAAAAGCCATTATTGAGTTAAGGGCTGATTGTGTCGCCATGCCCCAATGACGTGGATCATGGCTCATTCTATCGACCACTGGTTATCTGACCCAGACTTTATTTACAGGCCACTGTGACAAAGGTCTGTGAAAGGCATTTAGAAGTGATTCACATAAGGAAGATAATATATGGATGTCAACTTATTATTATTCACCTAATGAAGGAGTAAGCATATACTCCAAAACGTTGTTTCGCTGTGATAAAGTTGCAATCTTGCTTACTGCTCCATAAGCACAACACTGGCTGATTCATCAGTCAACAGCGGATGGTGCAACTCTAATGGCTGGACATTTGCACTGCGTTGCAAGCTTTTCCTGATGCTACTTTCTTAAGCACTTCTGATTTGCATTAAATATTCTATTTGGTAGTATTCTGTTGGTGTTCTACAGTTGTTAGTTTTGATTCATGAAATTCAAGAGTTTATTCATCTTTGTTCTAGGGAAGTACGGGCGATGAGCGGGAGTATGGCAAGAGGATAGCTTCCAGGTCACCGAGGTAAGGCTTTGCAGAATAAGTGAGTGAGTGAGTGGTCAAACTACATGTTGCACGTCATTTTTGCTCCCTGTGTTACAACTTTAGGTCATAACATTATGCAGGTGTGGTGAAGCTGAGGGTCATTGTAGGATTTGTGTGAGACATGCAAAATGAGTTGTACCTGGTTATTTATCATGCAGAATTATCCAGATTATCTCCCTTGTTAGCTAGAGTTATGTGAATACTAAGTTTACTAATTTTATTGTGGGAGATTAATTTTATGTTTTTATGTTGTTTTCAGAACTCATGAGATGGTGTTTGAAGGACAGGAGAAGGAAGCTTTCTGGAATATTTTGGGAGGCAAACAGCCCTACGCAAGTGACAAGCGGTTGCAGGTAGGTGTCACTCATCATTTGGTTCATGAAGGAAGAGTTTTAAGAGTACAGTGTTTCTATATTGGGAGTCAGTAGTAAGTAAGTCAACAGAGGAGTTAAAGTTGGAAAATAGGCCTGGGACGAGTCCAAATGTACTACCCAGGTACCCACCCACCTACTACCAAACCCTACCCGGGTACCCACTGGAGATCTCAAGAGATAGGTACAAACTGTCTGATTGGGAATAGTTTGACTGGAGTCCTAGCAAAAGTATCTGGTCATGTATACACTGATTCGTGCATAGTTAGAAAGAAATGCGAACATTAGTGACTTGAGGTGTAGTTCCAGATAATCTTTGTCATTAAACAATACATCACGTGACTACCCACAGGTCCAGGTAGTCCTGTGGGTACCCAGGTCCTACTCAGTACCCACCCGACCCAAGTACCTGAGTTACCCGTCCCAGCCCTATTGGAAACATTCTTCCATCACTATACAAGTTGTTGTTTTTTCTTTAGAAGTACCTTTTCATCTCGAGAAGATATTGTAAAATGTTTTGTGTATTCTTCCCTTACAACCTACCCCTTCCCTTATTGAAAGTTCTAACATCAGTTCATCTACTAGCTGGGGCGGTCGGGTAGCCTAGTGGTTAAAGCGTTCGCCTGTCACGCCGAAGACCCAGGTTCAATTCCCGACATGGGTACAATGTGTGAAGCCCATTTCTGGTGTCCCCCGCCATGATATTGCTGGAATATTGCTAAAAGCGGCATAAAACCATACTCACTCACTCATCTACTAGCTTGTATTAAATGAATTGAATAATATGTGATTGATTGCCCCTCCCCTCCCCCCAGGATGACGAGTCAGCCCACCCCCCTCGCCTGTACCAGCTGTCCAATGCATCGGGCAACATCCGAGTGGAACAGATCCAGGACTTTGTTCAGGTAAGTTCACAGTCAGGGTTACATTACAGGGGTTCCTGGTGCCTGGACGAATTGTGCTGCAGATCTGTATTCATGGACCCCTTGAAGCTTTTGGTTTGAATATTATAATCGTGATCGATTCAGTAACGTTCTGAAATGAGGAAAAGAAATATTTAGTTAATATATATATTTAAAAAATAATTTTTCGATGTTTGTATTTGATGAGATTTTGTTTTCATCATTTTGACTTTCATAAACAGCATTATGTATATGTGTTGTACTGGAAATATGCATAATAGCTGAAATTGTCAGGGATTATGTGTATTGTTGTATTCACTTAAAATATATGTATTATCCCTGAAATTGCCTGGACAGGTTTGATTATTTACAGGCTGACCTGACATAGCTGGAATATTGCTAGGTGTCACGCTGAACAGCACACTGCGGTATGTAATGTTCAAGAACGATGTCATTGATGTGTGTTGTTTCCAGGATGACCTTGTGCCGGAGGATGTGATGCTGTTGGACGTGTGGGACTCAGTGTATCTGTGGGTCGGAGTCGGAGCCAACAAGAAGGAGAAGGATGAGGCAGAGAGAATTGCACTGGTAGGCTGCCTGTGTTACCTCTACAGTGTCACATTGATGATGTAGACTCACTTTAGTCATGGTGTATGTGTTGACTGAAAGTCACAATATGGCTGAAATATTGATGATGTGACTTTAAATATTAACTCACTCTCTCATATGTAGGCTGAAAAAAGTGTTGGGGGAAGGAGGAATGATTAGTAATTTGTATCTGGACCTTTATGTCTGATCCCCCTGTGGGGATTTGGGGTTAGAATAGGTCCCCAGCAACCTATTTGACTGGATAGTCAGGCAGTGTCTTTGTACCCAGAAGGTGTGGATCATTGTTGATATCAATCACTGGAATGTCTGGTCTAGATATGATGATTTATGCTGACCAGACAGCGTGGCCATTTGAAAATATGGATTTTCAATTCCATCTACACAAACTGTCTTGAGCAAAGTGACTGAATGCACATTATAATACTTACACGCCTTGTGTAATGCTGTTACCAATAACACACTCTTCTTAATTTTTTAAATTAAAACATACAAGTATCTTGAATATACACAACTACAGAGGTATTGACCGAAATTGAGCCATCAAAAGCTGCATAAACAAGAGATAGCCCTAAATGATTGCAGTAACAATCTGTTTTGGATATGCCGTTGTGACTACCTGTTTTACACTTGCCATCTTCTTTATTCAGAAATACCTGGAGACGGACCCTGCAGGGAGAGACAATGACACGCCCATCATCAAGGTGAAGCAGGGTCTGGAACCGCCAACATTCACAGGCTTCTTCGGGGTCTGGGACCGAGATCTCTGGAGCGTAAGTTGCTGGAATACAAGATGACTCAACATAGGGAGGAATAGCATGAACACTGGGTCTGTAGATGGTATTCCCGGGATATACAAGGGTGGGATACTAGGGTGGAGTAATGGCAGTATAACACTGGGTCTGTAGATGGTGTTTCTGGGATATACAAGGGTGGAATACTAGGGTGGAATAATGGCAGTATATCACTGGGTCTGTAGATGGTGTTTCTGGGATATACAAGGGTGGGATACTAGGGTGGTATAATGGCAGTATAACACTGGGTCTGTAGATGGTATTCCCGGGATATACAAGGGTGGGATACTAGGGTGGAATAATGGCAGTATAACACTGGGTCTGTAGATGGTGTTCCTGGGATATGCAAGGGTGGAATACTAGGGTGGAATAATGGCAGTATTATATGTGGAGGTATATCATTGGGTGGTATAGCATGAACACTGGGTTAATAGATGGTGTTCCTGTAGACGGTTGTGGGGATACAATGATAGTTTAAAGTTAACACTGAAGGAATAATGATTAAAGCAGTAGCACAAGTGTTTCCTTTCTAAGGAATTGTATGCTCTGTCCACAGAAAGGCAAGACGTACGAGGAACTGAAGAGTGAGCTTGGAGCCCAGGCTGTGCAAGGTTCTCTGGTCCAGGAGGCCATGAACGGCAATGACCAAGACTTCAACGAGGTTCCCAAGTACTCCTACTCACAACTGATAGTGGCAACAGATGAACTACCCAATGGGGTCAACCCAGAAAACAGAGAGGTAAAGCCAGCACTAGGCTGAAAATAGGCTATTGTGAAATGGTGAAGTTTCGATAGTCATGACCCTCATTCCAGATTACTGTCAGAACAGTGTACATATATACAAGGGGAGATCACTCTGTACCCATGATACCACCTCTGTGGTCTAGAGGATAGAGTGTCTATTTGGACAACAGAAGGTCGGGGATTTGATCCCTGACCATTTCATACCAAAAGACTTTTAAAGATGGTACTTGTTGTTACCCTCTATAGCGCTTGTCATTAAGGGGCTAAAACAAGGACTGGTTGATTTGGAGTCTATACTGTGTCTGAATGGCGTAATATGTTAAACTGTGGCATGGTATCTTAGTGGGCTAGCACTAGTACAAGCAGCCACATACATACACACGTCGCTATATAATTGAACGCGACATTAAACCCCGTTTCACCTCACCAAATGTGTGAATTCTTAGCTCGGAGATATGTGTTTCTGCACAATTTCACTGAAAATGGTATCATCTGGATTAGCAGTGTTCCCCTGATTGAACTCATGGGGGCCTACTGGTGGTGCTGGTGATGAGTCTGCCAGGGAGTAGGGCTGGGACGGGTAACTTGGGTACTTGGGTTGGGTGGGTCCTGAGTAGGACCCGGGTACCCACAGGACTACCCGGACCCGTGGTTAGTCACGTGATAGATTGTTCAATGACAAAAACTCACTATAGCTCAGTGGTTACACTACAAGTCGCTAATGTTCGCATTTCTTTCTGACGATGCACACATTCCTTTTGACTTCAGTCAAACTTCAGTGAACGCATGATCTGATTGTGTGATACATGTATCTAAATAGTTTTAGCCAGGGCTGCAGTAAAACAATTACCAATCAGACATTTTGTTCCCAACTCTTGAGACTTGCAGTGGGTACCTGGGTAGGGTCGGGTACCCAGGTAGTAAATTTGGACTCGTCCCAGGCCTACCTGGGAGGTCACATACACCTGTTGGACAGGGTCAAGTAGAGTATCGTTCTAAATCAGAGACTGTGTTTAAACCAATGGGTTGTGGGTGATTTTCTGGAATGACACAGTTTTTTGTCTTGACCTTGAAGTTAGGACAGTATATACACCAGTTTTAAAGGGATACTGAGCTCAGAAAAAATGGCAGCCCTAGCCACCTTCATCAGTTTGTGAAATACCACTTTGTCAGCCTGAAGACTGATTTTACGAGTGATTGAGTGAGTTTGGTTTTACGCCGTTTTTGGCCAAATTCCAGCAATGTCACAATGGGAAACACCTGAAATGGGTTTACATGGTCCCATATGTGGATTTGAACCTGGGCCTTTGATGTTCTGAGCAGCCACTTTAGTCACAAGGCTACCCCACTGCCCGAGATTTTATGATGTATATCAATCTAGCGGGTCATGATTGTTCTAAATATACACAGGCAATATCTGTTTCATCTAGTCTACAACTTGGTGTTTGGTACACTACCGACATGGATTCTAGCTCTAATTATCAACCACTGGGCTCCCAGATTCCATCATTGACAGGTTGCTGTGACATAGCTGTAACACTGCTGATTGTAGCACAGTTTCACTCATTCATATTTATCAAGACCTTTTCAATCATATTTCATCTTGTAAATATCATTCATCTTGTAAGTATCTTTTACTACTTTGTTTCAGATTCATTTAACTCCTGACGAGTTCAAACAAATCTTCAAATGTAATTACGAAGATTTTAGTAAAAAGCCAGCATGGAAAAAGCAGCAGATCAAGAAAGCGCTACAGCTCTTCTAGACAAGATGGTCACGCGTTTCAAATTATGCATAACACATGCTTTTGTTCTCAGAACATTCATTACCTTTCACCCCTACCTGGCTGAATGGAAAACTCCTTGGTTATTTCAGGAATAGTTCATTACAGAAAAGAAGGAGTGTTAGATGAATTGTATGAAGTAGTATTACCATATATCTTTCATGAATCATATTTATACAGGGATATAGCATATGCACCTTTATGGAACCACTTTCTGTTTAACAGTTTCAAATCAACTGTTAAAGAAGTAATGGTATTCTCTGATTGGCTAACTGAAATAACCAATCAGGACCCATCACTGCCAGGTGCACTGTGATTGGTTGTTTATTTTTGTAGATACTTAGTGGAAAAGAGATTTGTATACTACTCATGGATTGACATTCATTAACGAGACCACATATTCTTATACAGAGTTCAGCTGTTTCTTTATTGAGTTTTACACCTCCATCTTAACTGTCAATATTCTACTTGTGTGCAATCTACACCTAGTATTTACTGCTGAAATATATCATGAGTTGGATACACGTTTCTGGCTAAACCCTGTCTCACTGAAACCTAGGTTTGTATTGGATTAAGATTGAGTAATTTAACCACTGTGTACCATTTTGGGAGTTTCTGATAAGGTTTTATCATTTATGTTCAATTCAGTTTTGTATTTAGAAGAAAACTGTATTTTTCTGTTGTAAGGATCTCATTTCTTCCATAAATAGTCATGGATATTGTTTATTTCTATACGCTGATATCATTCCAACCTGCTAATTTCTCTCCAAATATTCCTGAATTTCATCACTTTTTATCAGTTTAAAACTATGATCATAACATAAAAGTATGCATTGCTGATATTTTGTTTTATCTCCTTGTTTAGATTCATGTTTTGTGTTGGATATCATTCAAAACTAATAAGTCCTCAATTATTGACTTGCTCACAGATTTATATTTTGATTCGTTACCCATTTTGCTCAATGGACACAGTAGGGAACAATCCTATCTATGTATGCAGAGTTTGTGAAGAGTAATTTATGACCCATTATGGTCGATAGATTTTCAGGCAAAGATGCTTGAACACAGTGAAAAAAGGTGGTCAATTTAAATTTTACCTTTATGTTTTTGTTTTTTATTTTTAGTGTGAAAGGAATGATAGACATGAAAAAGTAAGGCTAATACATGGTTGTTTTCATGCCTAAAAACCAAGAATATTATATTTTAGCTTAAGAGAACATAACCCAGCAGAAATATGATATCATTTCTAACTAAACTTTTAGATTTGTTTGTGTACATAATATTATAATTATAATAATCATAGTTTGATACTACTTCCTGGTAAATTATGGATCTTATCGTGTTGACCGTTCAGGACAATATAGCATGTGCTACAATGTTACTGTTCTGAGACTGTTGGTCATTGCTTTTGTTTACACTGTTGAAGCATTCCATTGTTGTATGATTTGAAACAAACTGACACTCGGGTGGTCATTATACAAGCAATATTTAAAGGGGGTCAGCACCGTAATGTTAAGCTTACAAATTATGGGTGTCTGTTTTCACTTCATGAAGTTGCAGAGATTTGTCTCTTCCAAATATTCAGTTTATACATTTATTTTTACACACTTCATACATGCCTTTTGTGAATCTGTACATTTTTCATCAAGTGGATGTGTTGTGAGACAAGAAGCAAATTTGTACTGCAAAAATATCTTGGAAAATGTTCAACCAGGGTAGACAATGCTCAAGAATCTCAATTTAAATTTTCCAAATCATTCAAAACTTGATCTTCCACTTTGGATATTTAACACTTTAATTTTATCAGTTTTGTTATGATGCATCTATATGGAATGATATGGAGAACGATGAAACTGGCATGATGTTATTTTGTGAATATTCACCATGAAACTATCAAGTTTATGTATATCATAATATTTGTAGATGTGTATATGGAGTTTATGCATAATCATTTAAGTAGATCTCTGAAAGGCTAGATCTGAGGCTGTGTATAGCTTGATCTGAGACAGCTTATGGCTAGATCTAAGATGGCTTATGGCTATATGAGAGGCTGTGAATGGCTAGATCTGAGGCTGTGTATAGCTTGATCCGAGACAGCTTGTGGGTAGATCTAAGATGGCTTATGGCTATATGAGAGGCTTTGAATGGCTAGATCTGAGGCTGTGTATAGCTTGATCCGAGACAGCTTGTGGGTAGATCTAAGATGGCTTATTGCTATATGTGAGGCTGCATAGCCATATCTCTTATAGCTTTTGGCTATATCTGTGGCTGTATATGGCTAGATCTTAGGCTGTGTATAGCTAGATCTGAGACAGCTTATGGCTAGATCCGAGACAGCTTTTGGCTAGATCCGAGACAGCTTTTGGCTAGATCTAAGATGGCTTATTGCTATATGTGAGGCTGCATAGCCATATCTCTGATGGCTTTTGGCTATATCCGTGGCTGTATATGGCTAGATCTTAGGCTGTGTATAGCTAGATCTGAGACTACTTATGGCTATATCTGAGGCTGTATATATGGCCATATCTCAGATGGCTTTTGGCTAGATCTAAAGCTTGTTTGACTAGATCGGATTAGAATGGCAAAAGACATTATCATAGCAGCACATTTAAAAGCTCAAGTTTTGCTACAGCAGTTTGGAAGGTGATAATCAGGTTGATATTTGAAATTACAGGTGTTGCATCCTTAATGAAGATGCTGCTATTATTATGGGTTATCATGTAAATGCCTCTCACAACACGAATAGTTCAATTGTTTTCCATTTGATACTGTCATCAATTCAATTTGAGACTCATCCTTATCACTTGTTAAGTCGATGTATATTAACCACTGTACACTGCTGAGAGATCTGAACTGGTAATAAACTATCACAAAGATTAGGCATTTGAGAGATCTGTCCAGTGTAAATTTTGTTGAATGATGTTTTACTTTTTGAATTACTGCCACCTGTAAAGCCTTCAAGATGGAATCACAGCGTGAAACATACATTAAAGAACAGCAAAGACCACAACACAAGGTTAGGGTAGCTGTCACTGGACAGGGGAACAAGACTGCTCTGAAACCCAAGCAGCTCATAGGTTGCCTGTAGAACATGATTACTGATACCAGAGTGCCCTGAATGTACAGGTTGTCACTGTCTATGGTGCCCTGAATGTACAGGTTGACACTGTCAAGGTGCCCTGAATGTACAGACTGACACTGTTAAGGTGCCCTGAATGTACAGGTTGTCACTGTCTGGTGTGCCCTGAATGTACAGACTGACACTGTCTGGTGTGCCCTGAATGTACAGACTGACACTGTCAAGGTGCCCTGAATGTACAGACTGACAATGTCAAGGTGCCCTGAATGTACAGACTGACACTGTCAAGGTGCCCTGAATGTACAGGTTGTCACTGTCTGGTGTGCCCTGAATGTACAGACTGACACTGTCTGGTGTGCCCTGAATGTACAGACTGACACTGTCAAGGTGCCCTGAATGTACAGACTGACAATGTCAAGGTGCCCTGAATGTACAGACTGACACTGTCAAGGTGCCCTGAATGTACAGACTGACACTGTCAAGGTGCCCTGAATGTACAGACTGACACTGTCAAGGTGCCCTGAATGTACAAGTTGTCACTGTCAAGGTGCCCTGAATGTACAGGTTGTCACTGTCTAGAATTCCCTGGGCATACAGGTTGCCACTAAGTGTCCTGAACGTACAGGTTGTCACTGTCTATAGTGCCCTGAACGTACAGGTTGTCACTGTGTGGAGTGCCCTGTCCACACAGCCTGTCACTGAACACTTCTCACTTCCATCCTCCGAGATCTTCCTGTACTCGGTCTGTATCTAGATGTATACACACTGTAAACAGGCATTTGCTTCTTACATTATTAAAAAAACAAGAATATAAATGACTTGTTGTTTGTTGGTATCAACAGTAATCCAGAATATGTGACTAGAAGATAATGCAGTAGTTAATCCCATTAAGCAACCACTAGCCTTGGGGGGTCAAATCCCATTCCCCGACTGACTGACCATACATTTACACCTAGGACCTTTGACCCAGTCGTCTAAGGCACTATGTGAACACCTGAAACCTGTGATTGTGGATTTGAATCCCGGTTTCCCTGATTATGTTTCTAGGTTTGCCAGCACCATACCCGTGTTCGTGGGTAAGATCTGAATAACTTTTGCCTGATATAACTGGAATACTGTTCAAAGTGGCATTAAACCAAACTTGCTCACTCACACATATATTCCCTTTCTCTTGTGTGATAAGCTGTCATGTAAGTCCAAGGTCACACAAACAGCTCATGACCACATCAAACTAAGACGTTTTGATGGTATCTTCCCCAAGTTTAACATCCATTACCTTTGGGGCAAGGTTTATGGATGAAAACAATTTGGTGACCCAGACCCCAGAAAATAGTTATCCTGACAACCTGACTTGGTAATGATCATTTAGCAAGTTTGTAAAACAAAAAATGAGCAAAGGGTTTCATTCAAGGTCGCATTGCAAGAATATGTTAATTCTTAATAATAATCATTTCACATTATTTTTGAGTTCATACATGGCCTCAAAATACAATACTCCAAGTTTGGCACTATATTTCAGCAAGCATAACATCCTAGATTCCAGTGCGAGGGTTGCTGAAAAGTTCTGAGCCTAACTATTATCTCTCCAAACAGAAGGGATATTCGAAACTACCTTGATTACAGAAATACAAAGAGGTATCGCATGATGGAAATAGGAAAAGGAAGGACTAGGTGTAACATGAGGATCCACAACATGGTGGTGGTGTATTGTAAGGCTGCAAACAACTAAGAAAGACGATGGTTACAAAATTAAAGTTTGAGATGACTTCATCAATAATGGGTCATGCCCTCATGATTGGTCTATCATTCAATTATACGGCATGGCATGGTTCAAATCAATCTGCCAATGATAACTTGCAGAACTTGTCCACTCTTCTTGCAACGCCTTTCCTAGTTTGAGTAACATAGTGGGTGACCTTTGTCTCCTGTTCATATCCCAGACGATCTATTTGGGAAAGATCAGGACTCGGGGCTGGCCATTGCATTCTGGTCATGTAAAACATCTTGGTGGATGTGGTCAGTTACGATACGTGCACGGTGTGCACAAACATTATTGTTTTGAAAGATGAATCGTGGACAGCATGTCGTGCAAAAGGCACAACTATCACAATATGCAGTAGTGACAGTCCTAGTGTTCCGCCCCATATTACAGACACAACCCCAAAATCATGTTCCCTTCCATTGACATTTGTTACGACGAACACATTTACACCTAACCAGAAAGTCCAGAGTGAATCTTGACTCATCTTAAAACATTACACGATACCATGATCGATACCCCCAGTTTCTACACTCTAAACATCATTGGCGTCTGGCTAAAATGTGTCAGTTTGTTAGCGGTGGTTGCTGAGCATGTAGATTAGCTGCTTTCTAATTGACTGTTCAGTAACTTAAACTCCAGTGGTCTGGTGCTAGTGAACAGCTATTTGATAGGCTGTTTGTTCTTAATTTCTTAAAGCCTGGTTCTGATTTGTCCTGGCCTTGTGTTGTTGACCTTGGGCACCCTGTGCGGTGCTGATCATTAACATTTTGTGTCTGCAGAAACCTGTTCCCAAATCTGCAAATCACAGACTATGACACATTGAACATATTGGCTTCCTCTCGGAGAATTCTACCAGTTTCAAGTATGCCAATAATCCTCATGTGTTCATCTCGTAGACAGCACATTTCCAATCTCACCACAAATACTGCATTGAAGCAAGAGTAGAGAGCTAATGTGTTACAGTGGATATTGAAAATCAACAATACTAATGGCTGAGTCATTTGATGACCTTTCACTGAAGTGTCAAAATCAAGAAGAACCCCTACCTACATGCATGGAGGAACTGCTTGGTCAATGCAATGTATGAGGAGTTTGGGGGCGCTAGGTTTTAGTTCTGATACCGTTCTATCTCTGGAAGTAATTTTTTTAAAGCTGATCTTTTTTCGGACAATCGATCAGTAATATTTATATTTTATAATCCCCTCCTTCATTTGGAGAATATATGATGGACTGTGTTGATGGAGTTGGTTGCTAATTGTTTTCAACATAATCCCCCTCCGAGGTCCACACACTTCTGACAAAGATGTAGAGTGCCTGGATCCTACTGGTGTAGAAGGCTTCTTCCTGGTGATGTGAAATATCCTCAACAGCAGAAATGATGTCATCATCAGTTGCAAAATGCTTGTCAGACAGATCCTTCTTCATGTTTGGGAAGAGGTGGAAATCTCAATGTGTCAAATGTGGTGAATTTGGAGGATCTTCAACGAGGCAGTTATGCATTCAATCATTCAATCCCAGATGACCATTTTATTTTCATACCAACACACCTGCAATAATACCAAGACAAAACACACTGACTTAATGGTAGTTGTTTATTCCTTCCTCACTCTACACACAAACTGGACGGATCGTGGGTGTAATAGGACTGAATACTATTATGTACAGGAATACTAGCGAGGACGTATCACAGACTTCAATATCACAATGCTGTACAAGTCAACTGGGGATTGGAAACAAAACTTGACTGACACAATATCACCATGAATACAGTCATAGGTATGATGTTTATCACATACATTTTGTAAAGCAAAGTTACACATAGTTCACTCTTCTTATTTCGAATAAAATGTCAGTTTTCATGATCAGTATACGTTTACATTCTCAGACAATCGGTTGTTCAGATTTAAATAATTATTTTTATAGGTCACCAATACAAATATTTTAACAAAGAAATTATCATGTAATATGGAACTAAAATCATGATTTCTAATCCAGTCCTAGATCAATGTTAGAAAAACAGAAAATTGACAGAAAAGATTCTGGAAACAAATTATAATGTAACAGAAATATACTTTAACCACATCCAAAATTATGCAATCATGTCTAAAAGTCATACAATACAAAAGTAGTTTTAAGGAATATCCATTTCCACAATTTGATGATATTCTGTTACTACAGTTTGGGTCCATTCCAAAATGTTTCTATACAATATCATTACACAAAAGATGTACACTGACAAACTCAAAAGCATTTCACCCCTTGGTTTCAAGTTCATACATCACATTCAAGAAAACTTCCAATCCAGAAGTTTCAATCAATACTGTTCCGCGTTTCTCCAATCGTACAAAATACTGAAATCTACTGGGTTGACAGTGATTCATCACTGTGGATGTTCAGAGTCGTCCAGTCCGACTGCCGACTGAAGAAGGGCGTTTAGGAAGAGCGATGAAGCGAGGACGAGCTGTGATGTTGAATTCCCCTGAAAAGGCCTCAGTCATGATGTTCAAGAGGGTGTTCTCCAGCACCGATTCCAGGGAGTTGCCAAACTCTGATGTCCTGAAATAGGAATGGCAGTCAATACTATGTCTCAGAATGAATAAATACAATAAAAATATTTGGGGAAAAAGAAAGACAGTACAATTTCAGCTGGTCCAATTAAATTTGAGGCCAATTTAAGACTTTTTCAAGTCCAGGCAAACCTTGCAGAAGACACCTGTTTAATAAGGAATGCAAGCATCCCTTCTGTTTCAATGTCCAGCGTAAACTGACATAATTACATCGACCAGGGACCAAGATTTTGCAATGGGTATTTGACCTACTTCTTGATGGTCTGTTTCTGGTGTGTTTGCTTCTCGAGCTGCACTGCTCGTCTGGAGTCGGTGCGGGACGGATGCTGTGATGGAGCTGCTGATCGGACTGAGGACTGCACACTTCCAGCTGTCACGGACCCCTGGGCAACATGACAACATACATACAGAACCCTGGGCAACATGACAACATACATACAGAACCCTGGCAACATGACAACATACGTACAGAACCCTGGCAACATGACAACATACATACAGAACCCTGGCAACATGACAACATACAAACAGAACCCTGGGCAACATGACAACATACATACAGAACCCTGGCAACATGACAACATACAAACAGAACCCTGGCAACATGACAACATACATACAGAACCCTGGCAACATGACAACATACATACAGAACCCTGGCAACATGACAACATACGTACAGAACCCTGGCAACATGACATCATACAGACAGAACCCTGGCAACATGACAACAAACATACAGAACCCTGGCAACATGACAACATACATACAGAACCCTGGCAACAAGACAACATACATACAGAACCCTGGCAACATGACATCATACAGACAGAACCCTGGCAACATGACATCATACAGACAGAACCCTGGGCAACATGACAACATACAGACAGAACCCTGGGTAACATGACAACATACATACAGAACCCTGGCAACATGACAACATACATACAGAACCCTGGCAACATGACAACATACAGACAGAACCCTGGCAACATGACAACATACAGACAGAACCCTGGCAACATGACAACATACATACAGAACCCTGGGCAACATGACAACATACATACAGAACCCTGGCAACATGACAACATACATACAGAACCCTGGCAACATGACATCATACAGACAGAACCCTGGCAACATGACATCATACAGACAGAACCCTGGGCAACATGACAACATACATACAGAACCCTGGGCAACATGACAACATACATACAGAATCCTGGCAACATGACAACATACAGACAGAACCCTGGAAACATGACAACAAACATACAGAACCCTGGCAACATGACAAAATACGTACAGAACCCTGGCAACATGACATCATACAGACAGAACCCTGGCAACATGACAACATACAGACAGAACCCTGGCAACATGACAACATACATACAGAACCCTGGCAACATGACAACATACATACAGAACCCTGGGCAACATGACAACATACGGACAGAACCCTGGGCACCTGACAACATACATACAGAACCCTGGCAACATGACAACATACATACAGAACCCTGGCAACATGACAACATACATGAACACTGACTCACACCAGTGGGGTACATGGACATCACAGCCGGGTCCTGTTTCACAAAACAATCTAAGCATTAAGATGATCATAACTGTCCTACTTCGCTGTCTAGATTAGAGCTGATGTCACACAATGTAATCACTCTATTTTCAGTTTAGTAATCTCACACAACTAGCATAGGACACTACCGTCCAAGGTACATCATTACTTTTAATGCCAAACTTAGCAATATTCGAGCTATATAACGGTGGCATGTTAATATTGGTCTTGAACAGACAATCCTGTGATTGATATTGTGAGCTGTCCGGGTACGATGACATGGAATCAACCAAGTCACCGAGTGTGACCACCAAATCCATACGATCCAGCAAGCATAGCTTAGTGAGGAACTGTTCAACCCCATCGGGTTAGAACCTCAGTGTGACAATACCAACCTTCTGGCTGTGTAGACTGATTGACGACATCCTGCTCTCCACACTGTTAGGAGTCCCCCTTGCACCATCCTCCACTGACACAAGTGATGCCCGACTACCCCCCTCTCGGCTGCTGGTCTCCCTGACAGGTGTCCCCCTGGCTGAACTGTGCCTGGACCCCACTTGTCTCTCAGATTCCTTGGCAGAAGGTGGCGCCGTCTTTGGCCGCTGACCAAATTGTCTGAAGTAGGGGATATCTTCCTTGGCCACTTTCCAGACTGCTTCATGGAAGTATGCATCGTCCAGCAGGCCTCTGGTAACAGTCAGCAGCAGAAGATGTACACCATCATACATACATTTTACAGAGGAACATTAGAGTATACATTACATTAGGAAACTGATAGTGATCACAGGAGTGATAGCTGAAACACACATGAATCTGACAGTTACCTGAGGACATTGCTGAGGACGCCGGAGATGATGTTGGCCTCGGCCTGGTTACAGTGGATGGTGTTTGTGATGGCAGCCATCTGCTCCTGCTTCCTCTCAACAGCCTTGCCCAGCTTCTCACTCAGCGATCTGCACAGGAAGGCAATGTGCTGTTAGCATGTCAATCAGTCAAGTTTCTTCAATATCGCTGTCATGTTTATCACAGTGGATTGTGAATGATTCCTTTTGGACCAGGCAAACTGACGCTTTTTATGACTTTCCAAAGGTAGTCATCTTCTAGAGGCAAGGGCGTTAACTTATTATAATAGTCCAGTTTCCACCCTTGCTGAACTAGGCTGGAATTATGGAGTTACATTTTGGCTGGACTCATGAGTCTATGTATAGTCCAATCAAAATCACATAATGAAATTGACATTCAGTTCATGAACTGCCTTGCAGATTTCAAGTGATTGCAGGATTTGCAAAGCATGTGTACCACCAACTTGGCATCAACAGACATTTTTAAATCTTTTCATGTTTTTAATGAAGGTGCTCACATGATTTGATGCATTTTGCGAAGAAAGACCCGTTTTATCACAATATACTGGTAGATTTTGATTAATGATCAGATCGCCCTGACTGGGCCCCACCATCTTGTTTGATTCAATTGCAAGTGGTGAGAGGTGGCTGGTCAATAAGAGGGACATAGAAGGGACATAACATGTAATAGCCACTGTGGCACTACGACTGTACCCAGAAATTACAGCCTAGTTCGGCAAGGGTGGAAACTGGACTTTCATAGTCAGTTAACTCCCTTGCCCCAGGAATAGCAAGGTACTATGTAGGTTTGTTGTTTAATGCTGCACTCAGCAATATTTCACTGATAGCCCGTAAATAATCGCATCTGGGACAGGCAATCCTGTTATTTTGAGAAACGATCCATGCACTCACGGTGGCATGACACGCCATCTACCAAGTCACCGAGCCAGATCACCCAAATACATCACAACCAGTATAGGTCCTATTCCCACCTGTCTATGTAGTATTTCCTGTAGTCATCGGGGAAGTTCTCCTGGAACTCTCGCACGTCATGTGTGCGTGCCGTCAGACCCAGGTGTAGCAGGAAGGGGCGGGGTGGCACTGGCTTCTCCCACAGTTCCTTCTCCTTCCTCTTCCTCCGTCTTTCTTCCGCCTTCACCTCATCAGAAGACTTCTGCTTGATGGGAGGGAGTGTCTACAACACATACATTCAGTCAATAAAATATGTAGAGATGCTTTGATCACAATATATTTATTGTCAGTATTTTGATCAATCAAGTGATTGAGAGCATGAGTATCCATCTCGAAATTGGGAAACAATGACATGCATCAACCAAGTCAGCGAGCCTGACCAACCGATCCCGTTAGTCACCTCTTACGACAAGCATGAGCTGCTGAAGACCAATTCTAACCCAGATCTTCATGGTTCAATCATTAATACCACAGGTTACATAGATGTAACGATATGGTTGGGTCACGATGCAATACAAATCCCGGTATTATGGGTGTGATACGATTCATATCCCAATACAGTATTTTTATTTAATAAGATGATATACTTTCTTTTTGCAGGTGAATCACAACCCTGAATAAAAATGAAATAAAAAAGCGGAGAAACATTGGTAGAGGGCTCTGTGAATGTTATGCTATTTATAGCCAACCGAGAATCTGCATAAGCTGGCTGTTGAAATATTACTGTTATTATTCACTACATTATGACTTGTAGTGTAATGTATTGTATGTATCGCGAAACAGGGGTTGTAAACCAATGTATTGTATCGTTGGCCTTGTACTGGGATACAACACTGTATCGCGATATAGTTACACCCCTCCAGGCCAGGCCAGGCCAGGCCAGCAATACCACAGCCAGATCATTGCTGCCTTTAACTGACAAAGCCATGGCCACACAAACAGTTCTGGAGATGAACGAGGACACAATTAGCATATACTGACCCTGTATCTGGTCAGTTCCCCATCTGGGCTTGGCGTTGACCGGTAGTCGTCCAGAGACTGGAGGCGGGATGAAGGACGTTCCTGTCACAGATACAGCATGTAACCATCATCAAACTTCACACATATTTTAGTTTGCTTCAGCCAGTTCACAACTGGATCCTTCTCTGTGGGCCTTACTCATTATGTCAATAAACCATATATAATTTCTTTTTGAGATTTTCAGAAACAAGATTCTTAAAATATTGAAAGTTTGATATTTTTTACCCGTTATGTCAATAAATCATACATAATTTCTTTTTCAGATTTTCAGAAACAAGATACTTAAAATATTAAAAGTTTGCTTTTTTAAAGCAAGCCGATAAGTTACATCTCCATTTGTATGATTTTAAGGCCTTTAAAATCACCTACCACCACCTCCACATCATCAGCCAGTCTGAGGTCAGCATTGAGGTCATTCTCTGTGATGACAAACTCCTGCTTCTGACGTTCCTTCTCCGCCTCCCAGTCAACTAGACTCTTCTTGTACTCCCCCATTTCATACTCATCTGTCACCTGCAACAGCACCAGTATTAGGGTTATCATCATCATCATCATCATCATCATTAATTCAACATCGATTATCATCAGCAGCAGCAGCAGCATCCATGCCATTGCTGCCATCATCATCATCAGCAGCAGCAGCAGCACCCACACCATTGCTGCCATCATCATCATCATCATCAATCCATCATTGATTATCATCATCAGCAGCAGCATTCACGTCATTGCTGCCATCATCATCATCATTATTGATCCATCAGCATAATCATTATCATAATCATCAATCCATTCTATATCATGCATTCTATAGCTGACACCATCCTCATCACCCTTTTCTAATCGCTTCATATGTTATCCTGTCTCTAACACAAATCCCAGACCCCCAGAATATTATTCCAGCCCCTAAACTGCTAGCTACAGAGATGCACCTAATTATTCATAACGAAAAGCATAAGCATATATTCCATATATAAGTGAGTTGGTCAGGTGCAACATCAACATGAATTGTGCTAGAATTATTTCAGTATGAAATATATCAAGAAAGTCTTACCTCACACACGAGATCGAGGTCATAGAATGATGGCACCCCAGCAGCAAGGAAGGTAACTCGGCACATCCCGATACCCCCAGGCTCCAGCTGACCCCTGACCGGGGAGATGGAGAGACACTGGACAAACACAAGCACCTTGTAGCAGCATCATCAACAACATCAACCCAGACCATACTGTAAAGGGCTTCATGTCCATTTAAGTTATGAATTCAGCTGGGACACAATGATATGACATAACAATAATAATAGTCCAGGTGAAAGCTATCATTACATGCAATTCAAATATATCCAGGTAAAACATTATTTATGTTAAATGTTAAATATACTATTCAGTATTTCATCCATAGCACTGTAGTATAATACATGTACAGAATATTTGGATCTTTCACTCGTCACCTTTAGCAGAACGCCTACCTTGCTGTCTGCTTGAGACGTGACATGCCATTCAAAGGACACTGGCCGCTGCTGTGATCTGTTGATGACAAATACCATCTGGCGGGCCAGACTGAAGAGAGGCATGTTGTTGAAGGAGACACGTTCTCGGGACAGGTACACGAGCTGCAACACCAGCAACACACTCAAACCAGCATCCTCCCTACACTCATTATGATACTAAATGATGTGAAATAAGTCAACCAAGAGGTCTTTGGACAAGATCATCATCCTCAGTTTCAACAGGGACACACATTAGTAGTAAACTTTGTAAAACCAGACCAAGCTTAAACATGTATGATTCTACTGATTTATTTCTATAGATGACTTGTATATAGAACTAAATTAAATTGGACCCAAAGCTTATTTCTTGATCCTATTGCATTGCTAAACCATCACAAACCCAGATGAAAATGTATTTTTTAGAATAAAAATATCATTTGTACTTATCCTGACTCATACTTATCGCTTACTCATGTTTATGAGTCAGGATAAGTAAAATTATTGCTTTCTTCTGAATAAAGAATTCTTGTGACATCACTTGAAGATGCTTGTTGATTCTACTTCCTGAATCAACAGAATCAAGTGACGTTTCCATTAGATAAAACTCCTGCTATTAAAGTTCAAACGTTACGTCAACAACATGTGGGTAGAACACCAGAACCTAGAATGTCATTGTATGAAGGAAGGGTCCACCCTATGATTGTTCTCGGGTTAGGGTACCTGTCCGGGTATAGCCACACTCTGCACGCTCGGTACGCCGGTCAGATCGTGCTGGTCTGTGATCGGCATGGTGTCTCCCATCACCCGCTTGTCGAACCCCACCCCGGTGAAGGTGATGATGGCTGTGTCGCCGTGATGGACGTGGACTGGGACGTCGATCTACAACACACCAACAAGTACCTATACAACACACCAATGTACCAATACAACACACCAACATGTACCAATACAACACACCAACGAGTACCTATACAACACACCAACGAGTACCTATACAACACACCAACAAGTATCTATACAACATGCCAACATGTACCTATACAACACACCAACGTAGCAATACAACACACCAACATGTACCTATACAACACACCAACATGTACCTATACAACACACCAACAAGTACCAATACAACACACCAACAAGTATCTATACAACATGCCAACATGTACCTATACAACACACCAACGTACTGATACAACACACCAACATACCAATACAACACACCAACAAGTACCTATACAACACACCAACATGTACCTATACAACACACCAACAAGTATTTATACAACACACCAACATACCAATACAACACACCAACATGTACCAATACAACACACCAACATGTACCTATACAACACACCAACAAGTACCTATACAACACACCAACATGTACCAATACAACACTACAACATGTACCTATACAACACGCCAACAAGTACCTATACAATGCACCAATGTACCAATACAACACACCAACATGTACCTATACAACACACCAACATGTACCAATACAACACACCAACATGTACCTATACAACACACCAACATGTACCTACACAACACACCAACGTACCAATACAACACACCAACATGTACCTATACAACACACCAACATGTACCTACACAACACACCAATGTACCTATACAACACACCAACATGTACCTATACAACACACCAACATGTACCTATACAACACACCAACATGTACCTATACAACACACCAGCATGTACCTATACAACACACCAACATGTACCTATACAACACACCAACGTACCTATACAACACACCAACATGTACCTATACAACACACCAACATGTACCTATACAACACACCAACATGTACCTATACAACACACCAACATGTACCTATACAACACACCAGCATGTACCTATACAACACACCAGCATGTACCTATACAACACACCAACATGTACCTATACAACACACCAACATGTACCTATACAACACACCAACATGTACCTATACAACACACCAACGTACCAATACAACACACCAACATGTACCTATACAACACACCAACATGTACCTACACAACACACCAACGTACCAATACAACACACCAACATGTACCTATACAACACACCAACATGTACCTATACAACACACCAGCATGTACCTATACAACACACCAACATGTACCTATACAACACACCAACATGTACCTATACAACACACCAACATGTACCTATACAACACACCAACATGTACCTATACAACACACCAGCATGTACCTATACAACACACCAACATGTACCTATACAACACACCAGCATGTACCTATACAACACACCAACATGTACCTATACAACACACCAACATGTACCAATACAACACACCAACATGTACCTATACAACACACCAACATGTACTTATACAACACACCAACATGTAACTATACAACACACCAACATGTACCTATACAACACACCAACGTACCAATACAACACACCAACATGTACCTATACAACACACCAACATGTACCTATACAACACACCAATATGTACCTATACAACACACCAGCATGTACCTATACAACACACCAACATGTACCTATACAACACACCAACATACCAATACAACACACCAACATGTACCTATACAACACACCAACATGTACCTATACAACACACCAACATGTACCTATACAACACACCAACATGTAACTATACAACACACCAACATGTACCTATACAACACACCAACATGTACCTTTACAACACACCAACATGTACCTATACAACACACCAACATGTACCTATACAACACACCAACATGTACCTTTACAACACACCAACGTACCAATACAACACACCAAGATGTACCTATACAACACGCCAACATGTACCTATACAACACAACAATGTACCAATACAACACACCAACAAGTATCTATACAACATGCCAACATGTACCTATACAACACACCAACGTACCAATACAACACACCAATGTACCAATACAACACACCAACAAGTATCTATACAACATGCCAACATGTACCTATACAACACAAAATTGTAAAAATTGTTTCCATGGAAATGAGAGTAGTCTGGTGATCTCACCATGTATGTCTTGGCTTCCAAAGGAGAGAACCTCCACTCCAGGGCCACGGACCTTCCAGGCAGGATCTCCCCGATGGGGTTCAGACACTCAAAGATTGGCTGGTCAAAGTTCTCCTACAACAAAAAAACAGGCTTACCATGACACTGAGCTCTCTCAAATCTTCAATGATTTGACATATGGACTTTGTTTCTAGAATTACAAGGCTGTTTCAAAAACACATATCTCAGCTACTTTATCAAGCATCTCAGCTCCACCAACCTGTCGGATGAGGTCCAGCGGTGTGAGGTCAAACTCGTACCTCACTGGCACAGCTCCCCCATTGTACAGCTCATACACCTGGAAACAGACAACAGCATCAGTGACAGCTCATACACCTGGGAACAGACAACAGCTTCAGTCACAGCTCATACACCTGGAAACAGACAACAGCATCAGTGACAGCTCATACACCTGGGAATAGACAACAGCTTCAGTCACAGCTCATACACCTGGAAACAGACAACAGCATCAGTCACAGCTCATACACCTGGGAACAGACAACAGCTTCAGTCACAGCTCATACACCTGGGAACAGACAACAGCATCAGTCACAGCTCATACACCTGGAAACAGACAACAGCATCAGTCACAGCTCATACACCTGGAAACAGACAACAGCATCAGTCACAGCTCATACACCTGGAAACAGACAACAGCATCAGTGACGTACACGCACTACCTGTACACATAGTCCATCAGGCAGTAAACATTACAGGGTTTACCTCACAACTAATTAGATATGATGGCAGTGAAGAGGACATCTGTAAAAAATCTAAAGATTATATTGTATGCTGACAGCCAAAACAGGAAGTTATGGCTATGACGTAAGGTATTCAAAGAAAACATGCACAAGTGATTCTGATTTCAGGAAACAAGTGTCAGAAGTTCTTTTTGTGCTTGAGTGACAGAGCGAAAGAGGTAAATGCACAAATTCTGACACGAGCATGTGATATGTGTCATCATTTCATCATCCTGCACACATAATGATAAGCTTTCATAAAGTAAAGTCTTCACCACTGACAACCTTTTAAGACGTTAACAGTGAAAACAAGACATCAACAATGACAGGCTGTCAAGTCTCAACACATCAACGATAATGTCTGAATTACATCAACAATAGTGTCTGCATTATGTCAAACGATGCTTTGGGTGAGGATTTTAAAACTTGTTCAAAATTTTATTTTTTTCATAAAAAATGCATACATAGGCTATAGGAGTAACTGTATGCGGACTGGACAGGTTAAAATAAGTTTTATTTCTCTAGTCCTCAAAAGTCATCTGCAGTGGCCGTCTTCCTAATGGTGAAAGTGTTGGTCCACAACAAAATGTCACAAGTCCTTCCTGCCTCTAACCAGTCTAGCAGACACATGTTAATTTCAAACCTTGCTGTCTAAGGCAGCATGTATACCTGTTTGGGGCTGTTCTGCTCTCCTACAGGGACGGGAGTGAATAAGTGCTTGTTGGAGGGGAAGTGGATGTAACGTCTCTCCGGCTCCACCGTCACACCAATGAAGTTCAGCTGCAAGCAGAAACAGTCATCTCATGACATCTTCAATGTACAGTCAGTGGAGGATCAATAACTATTCCAGGTCGCCACCCCGGTCATTACCTGACTAATGCAACCCAACTATACATAAGATGCAAGGATTCGTAGCTACAAGGGTAAGAAATAGCCCTGAATCAATTTCTTAGAATAAAGAAGTAGTTATCCATAAAAAAGTGTCATGTATTCATGTAATTCCAACTTCTCAATGGCTATGAAAGACTTCAAGGATCAGTGCACACTCACCAGGATTTCCCTGCCCTTGGAAAGTTTGAGCAGAACAGGCAGACGGTCAGTTCCAGACATGGTGTGGTTGTAGGTGAAGGTCACTGTCTGAGTGTCTCCCGGCGCCATCCTGCCCCGCTTGGGTTCGATGCTGAACAGCTTGTTGTCCATCACCTTCATCTGGACACATGGGATACTATGTTAGCATCACTCAGATCAAAATAAAACGTATTACCGGTAACATGTTCAAGAGGATCACACCAACCCTACAGCTGTTCCAGCTTTAACACTGGACAAACTACTACTCGATCATTATGACTGACCTCAGTCAGTGACCCTGTGGACAACTTGTGGACATCACGGACAGGGCTGTGTCTGTTCATCTGTTACTGTTCAAATAGTGACTTGGATAGTGTACTAATGATTTCAAAATCATTTCTGTTCAACAGCAGCTAAGAATGTAAGAATAATGTAAACAGAAATCTTTAGACATAAAAACTGTCCCTTAGAGTCTGCTGGGAACTGTGCATAACAGCAACCATGACACAATACTGGTACTTGGTCTCAGCCAGAGATTATATGAAGCCTAGAGTGTCCTGTGGTTATGTGAAGCCTAGAGTGCCCTGTGGTTATGTGAAGCCTAGAGTGTCCTGTGGTTATGTGAAGCCTAGAGTGCCTTGTGGTAATGTGAAGTCTAGAGTGCCCTGTGGTTATGTGATACCTAGAGTGCCTTGTGGTAATGTGAAGCCTAGAGTGTCCTGTGGTAATGTGAAGCCTAGAGTGTCCTGAGGTTATGTGAAGCCTAGAGTGTCCTGTGGTAATGTGAAGCCTAGAGTGCCCTGTGGTTATGTGAAGCCTAGAGTGCCCTGTGGTTATGTGAAGTCTAGAGTGTCCTGTGGTTATGTAATACCTAGAGCGCCCTGTGGTTATGTGAAGCCTAGAGTGCCCTGTGGTTATGTGAAGTCTAGAGTGTCCTGTGGTTATGTAATACCTAGAGCGCCCTGTGGTTATGTGAAGCCTAGAGTGTCCTGTGGTTATGTGAAGCCCAGAGTGCCCTGTGGTTATGTGAAGCCTAGAGTTCCCTGTGGTTATGCGAAGCCTAGAGTGCCCTGTGGTTATGTGAAGCCCAGAGTGCCCTGTGGTTATGTGATGCCTTGAGAGTCCTGTGGTTATGTGAAGCCTAGAGTGCCCTGTGGTTATGTGAAGCCTAGAGTGTCCTGTGGTTATGTGAAGCCTAGAGTGTCCTGTGGTTATGTGAAGCCTAGAGTGTCCTGTGGTTATGTGAAGCCTTGAGTGCCCTGTGGTTATGTGAAGCCTAGAGTGTCCTGTGGTTATGTGAAGCCTTGAGTGCCCTGTGGTTATGAGAAGCCTAGAGTGCCCTGTGGTTATGTGAAGCCTAGAGTGCCCTGTGGTCATGTGATGCCTTGAGCGCCCTGTGGTTATGTGAAGCCTAGAGAGTCCTGTGGTTATGCAAAACCTAGAGTGCCCTGTGGTTATGTGAAGTCTAGAGAGTCCTGTGGTTATGCGAAGCCTAGAGAGTCCTGTGGTTATTCGAAGCCTAGAGTGCCCTGTGGTTATGTGAAGCCTAGAGTGCCCTGTGGTTATGTGAAGTTTAGAGTGCCCTGTGGTTATGTGAAGCCTAGAGTGCCCTGTGCTTATGTGAAGTCTAGAGTGCCCTGTGGTTATGTGAAGCCTAGAGTTCCCCGTGGTAATGTGAAGCCTAGAGTGCCCTGTGGTTATGCGAAGCCTAGAGTGCCCTGTGGTTATGTGAAGTCTAGCATGCCCTGTGGATGATGACCAACCTGGTGGAGCTCGTCCTCGTCAAACTCCCCAGTCTCTGCCCAGTACTCCAACTCCAGGTGCAGGTCTGAGGGGAACAGGAAGGACCTGAAACACATCAGCCACATACTTGATCTTCTCAGACAAACAGGGCATTTAATGAATAATCCTGAGACATCTCAAACATGCTACATCGCAACATGACTTTTTCACACAAGCACATGTTGTGTATGGTTTCACATAAAGCACTGGTGTTTGCATAAAACGCTGTATCTAGAAGGGCATGTATTAAAACCCCTATCACTTTGTAAATACATGAAAAATGATGAGGCATGTTGCCCCATACAGTAGTCTCCTAACCAACTAGGCCGTCCACCTACTGCTGCATGCACTCACCAGTCAGTGGGTACAGTGCCGGTATTTTCAATCATCAGGTTGACCACACATGGTTCACTGTCCAGGGGAGCTGCACTGAAGTTGAAGTCCAGGATAGCACGGGTGTACACTGGGGGGCGGCGCCGATGGCTGGAAAAAATGGCCAGTTAATGAATCTAAAAGATTCTAATGCAGATTCTAAGTTTAACTCAATCATCTCAAAGTAATTGGTAACTTAGAATGCATACAATTTTTGGTTATAGCTTTGACAGATGACCATTCTTGATTACCAAGTGTATCTATTATATCTCCATTGTACTATGATCAACACCCTGGACCAGTTCACTACCTTAGCTTTGTTACCTTGATGAAGGTTGGATTGACACAACGCGAAAGACATACAATGAAATTAAACTGTTTTTTTTTTCCAGGTTTTAACATCCAGAGATACCAGCATAGCCCTGTTCCACAAAGCGATCCCATCTCTGACAATCGTAACGTCCATACCTTAACAAGACGTATGATAGTTATACCACTAAGATCACTTTGTGGAACGAAACCCAGTACACATTACAACTATTGTGTGCTGTCACAAACACAACCAGAATGTCTTGTAGCATAAGGATTTCCTTCCCCTGTCTTAATATTCAGGAAAACATCTCTTCCAGGTGAAAGAATCATTTATAATAGTCTTGTGATTCATTTAAATACATGAGGGCTTGCAGGGTTAGAAACTAACAGTTTTTATCCACTAGTCCGTATAATGATAACATATAGCAAAACCCTTAAAATGGGCCAATTTCTACTAGTCCTTAGGATACCTTTACTATTGGGCAGTTTGGTAAGGACTATAGGACTAGTGCCAATTTCTACTGCTGGCTTGTTTTGATAAGGCCACCATTTTGAATGCAGATCTCTGCCAAACTCATGTTCAGAAGAGGCATTTTGATTTTAAGCTCATGAGTGAGAGAAATTCTGTGCTAAAGTTGGTGTTAGGAGAGATGGAGCTAGTGACGTCACTTCTAAAACGAGGCTATGGTCCAGAATGGGTCCAGGGTAATGATGCTGATGTAATGGAGATATAATACACAGTACAATCAGTGATAACGGATGACAGAGCACAGACTTGTTCTCCTGTGGGCAGCTCACCTGTGTCGGGTGGAGACGTTGTACATGAGTTCCTCCGCTGATGGGTCCGAGTCCAGGCAGACGTTCATGCTGAAAGTACAGACCACAATCAAACACACTGACTGCAAATACAGTGGCCCCGTGAAGATCTGGGTTAGAATAGGTCTCCAGCAACCCATGCTTGTCATAAAAGATGATTATGCTTGTCATAAGAGGCGACTAACGGGATCGGGTGGTCAGGCTTGCTGACTTGGTTGATGCATGTCATTGTATGCCAAATGTGTGGATCAATGCTCATGATATCAATCACTGGATTGTCTGGAGCAGACTTGATTATGTACAGACCGCTGTCATATAGCTGGAATATTGCTGAGTGCGGCGTTAAACAAACCAACAAATACACTGATGGCGTCAGGAACAGAGAAACCAGAGGTTGATATTATGAACAACATTCGACACTATCAGGTAACCACGACAAACCAGTGTGACCACCTGATCCACTTAAGTCACCTCTTATGACAAGCATAGGTTATGACCAATAATATCCACGAATCCTCACAGGGTAGTACAGATAGGAAACATTACCAAGATTGCACTTGTTTTATCCAAGCTCTCTACATTACGACGCCTCTCATCTTCTTGTGAACCACATGAAGTATTTATAATCATGTCCCTATGTTTTCTAAAATTCCTTTATACTCAGTCTATGCTGAGATTCCTGGTTACACAGCAACCCTAATTCCAACTGTCCACTAACTTGTCAAGAGAGAAGAGGTTCCATAGCTGTTTCTTGCTGATGCCGATGGCGCTGCCATAGCAGCGGGCGTCGGTGACAGCCATGATGGGGAACACCCCCGTCACAAGGATGTGACACAGATGCTGCGGCTCCTGCACTGATGCGTGGGCTACGGTGCCTGGGGAGAATATGGAGGAGGTGGTCATGCATTTCAATCATAAAGGTAAATGGTGGCATATCGCCATAACTGAACTACAGTAAACTATGGTTAAAACAAACTAAGAGGGACCACTAATTTTAGATCGTTATAACCACAGCCTATACACAGCAAATGAACAGGACCAAAAAACAGTTCAATATATCCAGCAGTTTGTTATAAGCATGTTCGTCATAAACGACAGTAATACAGTAATACAGTAATATGCCACTGTTAAGTGATAAACATGCAGTATCACAGTCTGCAACTTTAGCCACAAGTCTGAAGTAGAGTCTAGTAAAACTCTCTTAGTTTAGTAAGCTCAGCTATAATATTCCAAATAATAATACTAAAATCTGAAAATGACGCATTTGAGCTAAATTTCGGCTAGTAGCATCTAAAGGTGTTGGGTCAGACCAACATTATCTTTAAGTGAGATTGATTATAACAGCATTATCACAGAGGCTTCCGGTCAGGACTAAGGATAACAGTCAAACATATAGCATCTTTGTAATCAGCGTTTAAAGTAACCACTCCATCTCATAAGGCCTTGGGAATGAGGACCTGTTCGGCTTTAGAAACCCCTCGGTAGTTAAAAACAAGGAAATGTTACTTCATTAAAGTTTAAACATTTCCAAAGCGATCTGAGTGGTGGAGGTGGAAATCGTGAGTCCTACCTTCTGGTGTGAGGAGCTGGTAGGACACAGTGTACTGGTAGGTGACCCTCCTGAGTGGGCGCACTGTGAGGGGTATTGTCTGTCTGGACCTGGCTGGCAGCACTCCCTCCATTGTCTCCAGGTCCAGGCCTGAAACATGCAGCAGCAGCAGCCATCTTACTCCAGTGCAGTACACACAAAACTTCACACTCTAGAAGGATCATGTTTTGTAATAAAACTGTCAACAGGCCAGTACTATTAGAAGGGGTGTTCCAGTTAATTTTAATCAAAGATTGATGGGGGCACGGGTTGCCCAGTCGTCTAAGGCGCCGCATTTCGCTGTGCAGAGTTGCGTCCCTTGGGCACGCCAGAAACCTATGATTGTGGGTTCGAATCCCGGTTCACCCCGATTATGTTTCTAGGTTTGTCAGCACCATACCCATGCTCGTGGGTTTCACCGAAGTGGTAAATGTCTGAGACCTGCATCATTTCAGGCTTTCCTTCCACATTAAGCTAACACGCCGTGATATAACTGGAATACTGTTAAAAGCGGCGCTAAACCCAACTCACTCACTCATAGATTGATTGGAAGGTCCAAACAACCAAGGAACTGAACGCAAATTTCCAGGATCGAACACAAGTTACCTATTCAAAGTCATAGCTACATTAAGATGAAGTGAGAAATAATTAATTCCAATTTGGTAATTTTTCCTGTTACGGACAAGTACTGGCCTCAGAGCAGGTCTAGATAAACCCCTGTAATAGACATACACTGAAAGGACTTATTATATATGACAAGTAGATACATATACAGTGTTAAAAACTATGAATGTACTGAGGGTTGCATGTTAGAGATCTAGGGGGTACCTAGATTCAAATACTACAGGAGCAAACCACTATGACACCAGGACACTATGACACCAGGACACCAGGAACCTCCTTAATTTGAACAGTGAAATGGAAAAAGACCTCTACATTTGTTGAGAAAGTAGAAGATGACTGACCTATCTTGTCACTCCTGATGATGTTGTCAGCATACGGGCCATCCACATGCTGGTCCAGCAGCAGCCGGTAGTGAAGGCTGCAGCTGCTGTTGTTGTACAGGGTGATGTGGTGGGAGGCAGAGCTGCCAACGACGATGTCACTAAAGTCAAAGTACTTCTCCTCAGCCTGCAATCAGTGTACATCAACGAAATGTATTGTTTGTAAAAACTCATCATTATATCACTACTGTAGGCCCTAAGTGTTCTGGGGACAAAACAAACTGTCAGTGTTTGTTGTAAAAACAGAGGTGGCACATGGTCCTATGTACAGCGCACAGGTCACAAATCACATGAAGTTAAGCAACATGGGTCACGGAGTGTCCTTGGATGGGTGACCATGTTTGGTAGCTTGGCTCCTGAGAGTTTCTAGGGCTTCGGTGCTTCCCCAAACTGAAGCACATGTAACACATGTGGTGTCTCCATGGGCAAGTGACTTTGTTCGAAACGTGCCCATGTTCACAAAGCCGTGAATGGTTGTTAACCTTCTAGTGCCTAACAGGCAGCTTGGGTTGTATACTTCCCAGGGAGCTGAGAATGATTGTTGATTGCACACTGATCCAGTGACCGGGGTAATAATAGCGCTGTCAGCATGCCCCAGTGTGGTGTGGAAACATGCACAAAATAAATCGCCTGTTCAAATCAAAATCAAACAAGAAAAAAAAGTGAGCGTGGCTCACTAATACCCCCGGACCGCCTAGTGTGTCAGTAGTTTCAAATTAAATAGCGAGGATAGGGTAAGGGTTTGAAAAATTCATAAAAAAAATGGAAAATTAATAAAAACAATTTTTTTCTTTTGACTGCACCCCTCCATATGACACAGATTATATGTATTAAGTTTGAGATGAATCCACTGAATAGTTTAAGAGAAATCGCCCAGACAAAGTTTTCGGAGGGACGTTAGGGTTTGAAAAATTCATAAAAAATGGAAAATTAATACAAACTATTTTTTTCTTTTGACTGCCCCCTCCATATATGTACTAAGTTTGAGATAAATCCACTGAATAGTTTAAGAGAAATCGTGCGGACAAAGTATTCGTACGGACGGACAGATGGACGGAACCTTGGTATAACTATATACCCCCGACATTTTGTCGGGGGTATAACTAGAATGGCCTTTCAGAGAGATATAATGACAGCACATACTAATGCAATCCTGCCTTGCATAGTTGACACATTTAAGTCTTCTTTGAATATCTAAAACTGACAATATCAAACCAGTATACCATCTATTTGTATGCAATCATCCAGTAACAGAGAGTTTACTCACCATGATCTCCCCAAGGGATCCCTCCCCAACAGCTCGCAGTTTAAACTGTTTCTTCTTGCCCCCAGATGAGTTGTTGGTGAAGCCCTGCCCCCACACGATGAGGCTCGGCTTCATCACATACTTCTCCTCACCCCTGGGGATGAACGACCATGTCTGGCTCTACACAACAAATACAGGACTCCATTACAGGGGAACACGGGAGCAGAAAGAGTTGCATAGTGAAAGACTTAAAATATTTATCAGTATTTACATGAATAAATAACAAAAAACAAAATATCACAAAAGTGTTTATGAGGTTCCTCCCAACATATTAGAGAATATTATTGAGATTCCGGATTAGTCAAAAAGAAAAGAATAAAACATTGTATGTTAATGTGAATACAACATGTCTGTCTCCGAGTTACCTGTGATTCATTAGGATGGATGATGCCACAGTCGGGTTGAACCTTCAGCAGCTTGGAGTCTGCATTATTCAACTTCCACTCAAACCTGGTACCAAGATGTTAGAATATTGATATTAACATCATGACAATTATACATTCATCCCAGTATCACTCAGCACCATAGATATGAAAATATCAACACTTTTCTAGATATGTTGCAGTTTGGCATTTTTGTAGGAATGAAGTTTGAAAATTATTTATCCAAAGGTTTGTGAGTGAGTGACATGGGATTACAGTCTATTTTATAGTTTGTTTCTAGTTGGTGAACTCAGCAATATTCCAGCTATATGACAGCAGTCTGTAAACAATCGAGTCTGGACCAGACAATCCAGTGATTGACATTATGAGCATCGATCTACGCATTTGGGATATGATGACATACGTCTGCAAAGTCAGCGAGCCTGACAACCCGATCCCCTTAGTTGCCTCTTATGACAAGCATGGGTTGCTGAAGACCTGTTCTAAAACGGATCTTCATGGGTATATAGTTGATGTGAAGAATTCCAGCTATTCCATAGTATGTCAACTTGATGGAGGAAGCAAGCCTAAATTGATTATTGCCACCAATGTTAAATTATTTGGTAAAACCCAGGAACACAGAGATGCTGCTGTCAGGCAATGGATCATAATTAGGCCCAAACTGGAATTTGAACCTCCAATCAGCCAATCCTGGCATGACTAAGGGAAGCAACTCTGCACAGTAAATAGTATGACATCAGATTACTGGGCCCCAAAACAGATAGGTAGTACTTATATACTACTCAAAACAAAATTGGAAGGCTGTGTTGCGATACCCACAAGACACAACAGATTAAGTATAGTCATAGGGAAAAAATGGGAATATATAAGAATAAAAATTCAAATTTCCACACAACACATGCTTAATATTAAAACAGGCATTCGTGTATTGAACAGCCAGTACTTTCAACTTTGAAGAATAAATGGTATGAAGGCTATTTGACCTGAGGGGTATTCTGGAGACATTCTTGATTGAGTATGTCCTCTTGGAGGCTGTCCCCACACATGTAGGCTTGAAGAACATCACTCCGTCGGAGTCCATCAGTACCTCGGCCGACTCCGCTGACCCACACAGCTGTAGAGCCTACACAAACAAACACTGCACTGTACACCACACTTACAATCAGGTGACTAGAATTGCGTTTCTACTCATAAAATCTTCCCCCTCCTTTTTTTGATACATTAGCCCAAACTGTTTCCATGGAAACACAAGTAATTTAAAAAAATATAAATTGAAAACTATGATATGGCAATAGTTGAGCATGTGGTCTTTGCACATGTATAGTATCATGTACAAATATTCATTAGTTTGAGAGTTATGGCTCAGAAGTAACAAAATAGAATTTAGAAAAAAATTAAAATAGCAAAAGGCACCAGCTCAGCTGAAGAACAATGCATATACCAAGTTTCATTGAAAAACACTGAACAGTTTTCAAGTTATGGCCCACTGATCGCTATATCCACACGTTTTTCAAACCAAGGGAATAAAAATGAATGAATTGTATGAAATGAAAAAAACTCTAAAGAAGTTTCACTAGATCTCATCAAAAGGCAAAAATCTGTGATGTTTTGAAAAATGGATGACACCATATTGTATTGTTTTCAAAAAAGCATTAAATGATGTCACTATGATTCAGCAAACCAATCAGCAGTGAAAATGATTTCAATAATATATTTGAAATATCTGAAAGTTATAGCACTTTATATTTCAACCTCTACACATAATAATTCCTTGTCATAAATCAAAGGACAGTGGGGTAGCCCAGTGGTTAAAGTGTTCGCTGATCACGCCAAAGTCCCAGGTTCAATTCCCCACATGGGTACAATGTGTGAAGCCCATTTCTGATGTCCCCTGTCATGAAATTGCTGGAATATTGCTAAAAGCAGTGTAAAACCATACTCACTCAAAAATAAATACAAATTTGGTGACCTTATGTTTCCTCTCACAGCTTTTGAATCAGATTGTACAATATCAAAGTCACAGTTTCCTTTTTCAAAACTGAGGTTAATTTGTATGTAATTAACTGCATCCTGATTGAAACATTACAAGGATCATAAGAGAATCATAAGAGCCACCCACCCTGCTGTACTTGTCGTTATCGTTGAGTCTGAGAACCATCGCATGGTGATAGGTCTTCACTTCAGCCGGTTTACACTTCACCAGGAAGATCTGTACTCCTTCTTTCAACAGACCTTTAGCTGGCTTTATGGCAAATGTGCTGGCGACAAGTAGAGACATTCATTACCAGTTTCAGAATTACATACATCTTTAATGGCAATATATCAATTAAAAAAAAAAGAAGAAGAAGAATGTCATAGATCTGTTTGTTGTTTTATGCCACACTCAGAAATATTCCAGCTATATGACAGTGGTCTGTAAATAATCAAGTCTGGACCAGATAATCCAGTGATTGACATCATGAGCATCGATCCATGCAACTGGGATATGATGACGTGCATCAACCAAGTCAGCGATTCTGACCATCCAATCCAGTTAGGTGCCTCTTACGACAAGCATGAAAATCATAGGTAATTTTTTTAACAAATATAGAGTTTCCCAAGTACTGCATTGCACACTAAAATGATAAAAACGTTTTATTTCGACATTTTGATCTCTATTTATTACAGTTCTGTATCAATTCTATTTGTATTTTTAAAAAACTATCATGTGAAAGTTGGTTACCTGCTGGGGTCTTTCTCCACATCAAACAGTATAGGCGTGGTGCCCTTGTTCCGGACACACAGTGTGCGGTACGTCGACTCCTTGGCATTGACTGCAGGGAACACCAACTTGGGGCTGTTGACGTCATAGCGAGGCAGGAAGGTCTCGTTGTTGGGCATGAAGGTGTGGCCTGGAACAACACAACATGCTTAATGGCATCATCCATAATCACAATGTTTGTTTTTCTTTGTTATTTAACAACGCAGTCAGCAATATTACAGATATATGTCATTGCCCGTAACTAAGCATTTCTGGACCAGACAATCCAGTTTCCACATCAACCGGACACAATGACACACTGTCAACCAAATCACTGTCTAGCCACCTGAGTCTCTTGTTACGACCAGTATAGGTTGTGGGGGACCACTTCTGACCCCGACTCCCCACGGGGGGGGGGGGGGTCCTTGATCATGTCATGTAAGAGAGTGAAACCTAATATCCAGTCAGGAGAAGACAACTTGTGGTAAATGTTTTATTTAAAAAGATGCTTTACACAGCATTACAAAATGGTGGCTGGTTGTCATTCTACCAAGATGATAGACATATTTTTTTTTAGTTAACCATTCTCAAGACCTCATCCCCCCTAAATATTTTCTCATCAAAATTAAATGATTCATAAGTAGTGTCCAATTAAAAAAATTAAATATACTTTGAGAAGGGGTGAAATTTTGACTAGCGAGACAGGCCATCTACGTTACATTCCAGAAAGCCCTTTGTATTTTTAACTGGCCAGCAGTTAACCCCTGAATATATGAGTATAGCCACCTAACAACCAGGCAGCTCAGATATTTCCCTAGGACTTTGGAGAATAATTTGTCAGTAGCTTTCAGTCTATAATGTCAAAGTTAGGGAAGTGCATCACAGATAAAAACAATTTATCTCAGTAATCAATAACAAATTTTAATTTTTGTCATAAAATGCCATTTGGTTTCCCAGATTGCTTTCTTGCAAGTGCAAACAAGTTTCAGATGATCTGACATTTTAAATACAGTGAAACAATCTAATCAAAACATGGGAAAATAAGTAATATTTCTAAGCGCCCACTACTAAGACCAAACATTTACATGATAGTCTGTATTCTCTCATGTGTACTGCCGATTTTTTCACAGAAAACAGCAACGCGAATGGGTGTATAAACTGTACCATCCTAAGACAAATGGATGTGTGAAGCAGGGATCCGGAAACATTTTTTTGCCAATCGGACATTTGCATTTTTGCCACGCACACCTCATATCTGAGGTGCTGAATGTTCATGAATGAATAGAAAGAATAAATTCAAGTGTCACTTTCATAGTCGTGTGTACACTAATCAACCAAAAAACACATGTCAGTCTGGTTGTAGCTCTTTACTTTGTATCCTTTGTTGTGATATCCGGTCTCAGATTGTAATGTCCTGCTATTACTTTTTTGAAAATGTTCTGTGGGCAAATTTTTAAAATGTCAAGTTCGCACTATTTCAAATTGGACATTTTTCTGTCACAATCGGACAGACCGATTTCCGGATCCCTGGTGTGAAGCCTACATGATAAACTGTTCCCACATAAGACATGTACACACAGGTATGTGTGAAGCCTGCATGATAAACAGTTCCCACATAAGACATGTACACACAGGTATGTGTGAAGGCTGCATGATAAACAGTTCCCACACAAGACATGTACACACAGGTATGTGTGAAGCCTGCATGATAAACAGTTCCCACATAAGACATGTACACACAGGTATGTGTGAAGCCTACATGATAAACAGTTCCCACATAAGACATGTACACACAGGTATGTGTGAAGCCTGCATGATAAACAGTTCCCACATAAGACATGTACACACAGGTATGTGTGAAGGCTGCATGATAAACAGTTCCCACATAAGACATGTACACACAGGTATGTATGAAGCCTACATGATAAACAGTTCCCACATAAGACATGTACACACAGGTATGTGTGAAGCCTGCATGATAAACAGTTCCCACATAAGACATGTACACACAGGTATGTGTGAAGCCTACATGATAAACAGTTCCCACATAAGACATGTACACACAGGTATGTGTGAAGCCTACATGATAAACAGTTCCCACACAAGACATGTACACACAGGTATGTGTGAAGGCTGCATGATAAACAGTTCCCACATAAGACATGTACACACAGGTATGTGTGAAGGCTGCATGATAAACAGTTCCCACATAAGACATGTACACACAGGTATGTGTGAAGCCTGCATGATAAACAGTTCCCACATAAGACATGTACACACAGGTATGTGTGAAGCCTGCATGATAAACAGTTCCCACATAAGACATGTACACACAGGTATGTGTGAAGCCTACATGATAAACAGTTCCCACATAAGACATGTACACACAGGTATGTGTGAAGCCTGCATGATAAACAGTTCCCACATAAGACATGTACACACAGGTATGTGTGAAGCCTGCATGATAAACAGTTCCCACATAAGACATGTACACACAGGTATGTGTGAAGCCTGCATGATAAACAGTTCCCACATAAGACATGTACACACAGGTATGTGTGAAGCCTGCATGATAAACAGTTCCCACATAAGACATGTACACACAGGTATGTGTGAAGCCTGCATGATAAACAGTTCCCACACAAGACATGTACACACAGGTATGTGTGAAGCCTGCATGATAAACAGTTCCCACATAAGACATGTACACACAGGTATGTGTGAAGCCTGCATGATAAACAGTTCCCACATAAGACATGTACACACAGGTATGTGTGAAGCCTGCATGATAAACAGTTCCCACATAAGACATGTACACACAGGTATGTGTGAAGCCTGCATGATAAACAGTTCCCACATAAGACATGTACACACAGGTATGTGTGAAGCCTGCATGATAAACAGTTCCCACATAAGACATGTACACACAGGTATGTGTGAAGCCTGCATGATAAACAGTTCCCACACAAGACATGTACACACAGGTATGTGTGAAGCCTGCATGATAAACAGTTCCCACATAAGACATGTACACACAGGTATGTGTGAAGCCTGCATGATAAACAGTTCCCACATAAGACATGTACACACAGGTATGTGTGAAGCCTACATGATAAACAGTTCCCACATAAGACATGTACACACAGGTATGTGTGAAGCCTGCATGATAAACAGTTCCCAAATAAGACATGTACACACAGGTATGTGTGAAGCCTGCATGATAAACAGTTCCCACATAAGACATGTACACACAGGTATGTGTGAAGCCTGCATGATAAACAGTTCCCACATAAGACATGTACACACAGGTATGTGTGAAGCCTGCATGATAAGACATACCTGTACAGCTGACAGTCAGACACCATGGCGGGCAGTGGGTGACATCCTCTACCAGACGATAGTCACGCAGACTCTTGTAGAACACAAAACACTCCAGCTCGGCTCCGTACAGCTGGTTCGGGGCATTCTGGAAGAAGCAACGGATCTGACACTAGTACAATCAGGCCTATAAGGTTACGTATCTGTTTCTTGAAATGCAGAAATAATCAACAGTGTCTTAACAGCACAAGACTGCCCAACCACCACTTCATTCATTCCACTGGATCTTGAGTCACTGACCCAGACAGACACAGACACAAACTAAAACTGACACAGAGACAGACAGAGACATAGACAGACAGACAGACACAGGCAGAGACATACACAGAGACATACAGACACAGACACACACAGACAGACAGACACAGACACACACAGACAGACAGACACAGACACACACAGACAGACAGACAGACATAGACAGAGACATGCACAGAGAGACACAGACAGACACACACCACGACAGACACAGACATACACAGACAGACACACACACACAGAGCCATACACAGACAGAAACAAAAACAGACACACACACACAGACAGATAGACAAACACAGACAGACAGACAAACATAGACAGACACACCACGACAGACACAGACAGACACACACACACAGAGACAGACACAAACACACACATAGACAGACAGTCACAGACAGACAGACAAACACAGACAGACATATGCAGGCAGACACAGACAGACGAACACTGACACAGACAGACACAGAAACAGACAGACAAACACGGACACACCAACAGACACAGACACAGACATACACAGAAACACTGAGACAGACACAGATACAGATATACACAGATATACACAGACAGACACAGACACTTCATTTCGAACACTTGTTAGTTACAAACTCTCCATTGGCTTGCAGCCAAGCAGTTATTCAAACTTCCCAGTATAGGTATAAGAGAGTGACGACCACTCACCGGCTTGAATGACACTCGGAAGGAGCAGCTCTTGAGGGGTGGGATGTCCATGACGGTGGGGTAGACCGAGAACATGTGACTGCCATCTGCAACAACATCAGCAGCATCAGCTTCTACATCACTTACAACCAGGCAATGTTTAACAGTAAACTCAATCGACATTAGCTGACAAAGCATGACACAGTACTGAACATGAGAATGGTAAACATGGTAAAAGCGTTTATCCTTACCTCCCATCCACTGCACTGTGACCTTGCCCTTGGTGTGGTTGGTGACATTCACAGTCTGGAGGGATCACAACAATCACATCAACATTGCTTCCAAGGGTACATTTGAGACACAAAAATCTATTTGAGAAAATGATTCTGAATAATTGTATCTCCAAGGAGCACACATCCCGTTATGCGCTACATTTTCTCGGGTTTAATGCAAATCATTGGATGCAGATGACAGAAAATATGTCTCAAAATGTTCTTTATTTATCAAAACCTTATATCTTAGGACATTTAAAATAACTATTTAAATCTACTTCAAAAGATTGATAAATAACCTCAAAATTCATATCATAGTCATTTAAAGCTAATGCCTATCTCACCTTGTCTTCAATGATTCTCAGATTCTGACAGTTGCCAAAGTCAGCCAAGTTGACATCTGTGCTCACATGTGGGACAAAGTTCTGGAATTTTAAGTGCCATTATTTATTTCAATACCACAAGTCCATCGGCTTCTACCTTCTATTGTACATTACAGACCAGTGACAGTCTACCAAAGTGCCAGTCAAACACTGAACTTTCACAAATGTCAATGCTGTGCATTTTAGTACTAACATTATGTAAAAAGAAGAAAAAGAAACAAATTGGCAAACAATTAGTATTTTGTGGATATCATAAGTTCTAGAGGCCTGCATGGAAAGACTTTCTTACCCACTCTTATCATCATCCCCAAGTCTAAAACACATGAGCCAACTCACCATGTAATAGATGGATGGACCCTACCATACACTGAATGTTCAAGCTTTTGTTTGTTTGTAGTGTAATGCCACACTCAATATTTCCCAGAAATGAAAGCATCCCTTAAATGATCAAATCTGGACCAGACAAGCCTGTGATTAATATCATGAACAATGATCAATTTTGTCAAGGTATGCTGACACACAATGAACCAATTCACTGACCACCCTATCCATGAAGTCTTCTTTGTCAACCAGACAGACCACAAAATCTACCCTGGAATCCCGACAAGGGAAGGTACAAGTACTGAACTTACTACAAGGTCACAGTGGAATCCATCATTGAAGTACTCGTCTGTTGGAGGGATGCTGGGTGACAGTGCTTCTTTCTCCTTCATCTCGACTGGCTCCGTCTGGAAACACAGGCAAAACCATCATATCAGTTCTGTTTCAGACTGTACCATGATTATCATTACGTTAGAAGTTAGAATCCCTTGCTAACTTTATCTATTTACATCTGAAAATAAAATGCAAGAATCTTTCTATTAAAACACCTGTTTTGAATTATTTTCTTGTGTCATCCTGTTATGCATTTAAAAAGCTGTCAATCAAACCCTGAAGCATCTTTCATTGTTTGTACTGGACAGAAATAATCTGCATCAATTCCACATTACACCAGTCAGAACCCAAGTCTTGTAAAATGTTTAATAATACACCAACAGATTAGGTGTCAACACTAAAATCTAATGAAAAGATGTCAAAAGAAAAGCTTGGATCAGTCGACTCAAATCTTTAGCATGACACATATCTATCATTTACTCAATGACAAACAAATCTACTGACACTCTACATGACAGTGTATCTACTATACTATATCTCTATGTCTACACACTGTGGTTGGGTAGCCTAGTGGTAAAAGTGTTCGCTCATCACGCCGAAGGCTAAGGTTCTTTCCCAAATGGGTACAATGTGTGAATCCCATTTCTGGTGTCTCCCGGTGTGATATTGCTGGAATATTGCAATAAGGGGTGTAAAACCACACTCACTCATTTCATGTCTACACAGAAATCTCTATAGAGATCAACAAGAATTCATGAAAAGTAAACCTTATTTCCTTGTAAGAGCATCCATCACAATGGTTCCTCTTAGTCAAGATGTTACAGCGTTTAGAAATACAACCTTAATTATAAACAGTTCATGATTAGCATTTAATTATTAAGTTCAGTTCATCAAGAGTAAGAATTATAGATGTGTACAATGAAAAATGTATAATCATAATCTCTGACATAGAAAGGTGAGGATTGTATTCCAACTGAAAAATACTACGAAAGTTAAACCTATTTCAAAGCTATGATGCATGTGCTGTATGTCTCTTGTGTAGCTAAATCACAGGGCCCTCTTGCACAAAGCCATCTCAGCTCTATGACTGTCTGAAGTCTATGTTAAATATGGTAGTAACAATCATTGTAGTGCTAAGCTTGCGTTGCACAAGTGGGCCCTGAAGAATTTTAAAATATACATTTACCTCAAGCCTACTTCAGACAATCATAAAATAATTTCACGATACAATTATCTTTCTTAATTAACAAAATATCAGATTTCATTTCTAGAAAGGTGTATTCTTCCTATTTCTAGACACTGAAAAGCTCCAGATAAACTACTTGGAAACTAAAATTTCTAGTCCACTAATTCTTATGTTAACACGTAAAAATTGCTACTAGTCCTTATGATACCTTAACTATTGAGCAGTTGGCATGGACTATAGGACTAGTGCCAATTTCTAACACTGTTACATCTATCAGCCCTACATGTCTAGGGAGACGTGGTGGCAGTAGGACTGTCTACTAGCTACAAGCAGTATTGTATCAGCCCTACATGCCTAGGGAGACGTGGTGGCAGTAGGACTGTCTGCTAGCTACAAGCAGTATTGTATCAGCCCTACATGCCTAGGGAGACGTGGTGGCAGTAGGACTGTCTACTAGCTACAAGCAGTATTGTATCAGCCCTACATGCCTAGGGAGACGTGGTGGCAGTAGGACTGTCTACTAGCTACAAGCAGTATTGTATCAGCCCTACATGCCTAGGGAGACGTGGTGGCAGTAGGACTGTCTACTAGCTACAAGCAGTATTGTATCAGCCCTACATGCCTAGGGAGACGTGGTGGCAGTAGGACTGTCTACTAGCTACAAGCAGTATTGTATCAGCCCTACATGCCTAGGGAGACGTGGTGGCAGTAGGACTGTCTACTAGCTACAAGCAGTATTGTATCAGCCCTACATGCCTAGGGAGACGTGGTGGCAGTAGGACTGTCTGCTAGCTACAAGCAGTATTGTATCAGCCCTACATGCCTAGGGAGACGTGGTGGCAGTAGGACTGTCTGCTAGCTACAAGCAGTATTGTATCAGCCCTACATGCCTAGGGAGACGTGGTGGCAGTAGGACTGTCTGCTAGCTACAAGCAGTATTGTATCAGCCCTACATGCCTAGGGAGACGTGGTGGCAGTAGGACTGTCTACTAGCTACAAGCAGTATTGTATCAGCCCTACATGTCTAGGGAGACGTGGTGGCAGTAGGACTGTCTACTAGCTACAAGCAGTATTGTATCAGCCCTACATGCCTAGGGAGACGTGGTGGCAGTAGGACTGTCTACTAGCTACAAGCAGTATTGTATCAGCCCTACATGCCTAGGGAGACGTGGTGGCAGTAGGACTGTCTACTAGCTACAAGCAGTATTGTATCAGCCCTACATGCCTAGGGAGACGTGGTGGCAGTAGGACTGTCTACTAGCTACAAGCAGTATTAGAAGACTAGGAAACACTTAGCTACAACAGCTATAGTCAAAAGAGGAAGTACCATGTCAGGCAGTAAAAGTGTCACTCTGGTCCGCTGGAACAACATAGGGAGTTCAGTAAGTGAAATCACTGTGGTTAGACCTGACACAACACTGGTAAAGTCCTTACAAAATGTCTCACAATCATTGGAAAGTTTTAATTTTATTGAAAGGATTGAAAATCCTGCAAAGAATAGCTAATGAGCGGAAATATACAATATGTATATGGTAAGATAAACTCACAGTCTTTTTTTAAAGACTTTCTTGGTTAAAATGCCAACAGGTGACAAGAATATGAATACTTTGATTTGAGGTAATAATAATAAGGTGCACTTATAATGCGCTAGGCTCTATGTAGCAGTTCATGCGCAAAGCGCTACACTCAAATGTCACTCTGGAAAGATTTTTTGAACAAATGTGTCTTTAGTTTTGCTTTGAATGTCTGAAATGTTGAGGAAAGTCTAATCTCAAGTGAAAGATCATTCCATAACTTTGGGGCAGCCACACTGAAAGTCTTTAGTCCATAGCTGGAAACTCTACTGAGGAACAGATAGCAGGTTTTGATTTGCTGATCGAAGAGTTTTTTATTTTCTTTAATTCTTAATTTTAAAAAAGGATTTTAAAACCAAAAGAAAGGATAAAAATATCCATAATTTAAATCAAACATTTAATAATTTAATGGTGAGTTAATGAATAATGCCTTAAATAAGTCTAAAGGCATCACATAAAATCAAAAACAGAACGCTCATCGTAGACACATATACAGTAACAGGAACAAATACACTGTGTGCAAATCCAAGATGGCCACCAACAAGACATAGTGTCACTGCTATGTTCTGTGACGTACCTGGGCTATCCTGATGGCCCCTTCCTCGTCAGTCTCCAGCTTGCCTTCTCTCAGCAGCTCATTCAGTTGCTGTGCACAACAAACATACGCAGTGCAAACACAGGGGAGGATATACAGGAGCTCTCACTGGTATAGTACTGAGGCTAGGTAAAACATGCAGTGTGTTACATGTAGAATATACATAGAGAAGACTATTGTTCTGTCACCACAAGATCTCTAAATCAGACTATGGCTAATAGCAAAAGTTCTGAAAAGTGTATGGGCTGGATACAAAAATATCCACATCATAAACTGTTTATTTCATTACTACTGATAAAAGAATAACGTACTTTGAAACAAGTTGCAAATTCACAACAAAGAACTTCTGCTTCAAACAGGGGAGGCTACTCAGAGTTTGTTTTGCAAAGGGGTCATGTTTAACATGGTAATACCACCATCTCACTGTCATGTGTCAACCATCTCATCACCATGAAACTCCTACTATTGGTACCTGTCCCAGACACAACTAGTCACTACACAGCAGCACAGTGCACATGCAGACTCAACATCACCATGTTACCAGGACGACAAAGGTGTTTATCTAGCCAAATGCTTATTTTTTTCTTTCTGTTTTCAAAGAAGTAATTAATCATTCATTCCTAAACAACATGACTTAAAAAGGAATTCACAGCACTTATTCATCTCTTACTTAAGACTACTTCAGTGGAGTGGAGTGTTCAAAATATTTGAAGATAATTCCATATTTATCAAACAATCTGAAGTGTGCTTCCATGAAATGTCACACTTATTACCAATGCTATGACACAATGCTATCAGCGAGCTACAATTGTCAATGCAGTGATCCACCATAGCACTATACATCCAACGGGATTGGTGGTCAGATTGATGACTTGGTTGAAGCATGTCATCATATCCCAATTGTGTAGATCGATGCTCATGTGGTCGAACACAGGCAGTCTGTTCTAGACTCGATTATTTACAGACAGCTGTCACATAGCTGGAGTATTGCCGAGTGCAGTGTCAACAAACAAACAAACCAACAAACAACCTATCTATCCAGTGAGCTACAGTTGTCCATGCAGTGCTTGTTCGACCAGCTCCTTACCTCTGGGGAGTACATGGAGAAGCCTCTTTCCACATGCATCTTGAAGCGGTCAAGATGTTTCTTCAGCAGGACCGCTGGCTTGACCATCTCGGAGTGACATGTGCCGAGGATGTCCAGGAACAGAGGACCCTGGGGACACAACAGGGAGTACACACATTAATGCTGGATGGATCTGTCAGATGTGCCAGGTGCGTATCTGTGTTACATGTCCCTGTAGTCTGGCTATACTTCACACACAATATAGTGGACATTATATGGGCTACATGTTATTGATCTTTTGCTTTAACGATTTTCACCAACCAATCAGCTTGTATATGTAATAAAAATACATGTATCTGAAGAGTGAAGACCTATTTGGTTACGTAAAAAAAAAATTGTACAGCTTTTATTTATCTGTCAAAGATAGGGCACTCAAGCAAATAGAAATAAATCTAAACTATATTATAAATATTCTCATCGAAAATTTAAAAAAATGGTTGCCCTATTCCTGATAAAATTCATAAGAAAGATTTTGTTGAAATGATGATGAAGACCTTATTTCCAAATGTGAATTAGCAATGAATTTGGGTGTAGATTTACCCATGTGGTCATCAATTAAGTGTGGGAACAAAACCTATACTAGAACATTTTGGTCCTGGAATCTATCAGTCATGCAGTGGTTCTCCCACCTGGTTGTGGATGAGGCAGGTCACCCTCCTGTAGTAGTTGATGGGGTGGCTGGGCGTGAACTGGAGGATGACGGTCTGCTGAGAGTTGGGTTGGAGGACACCCGACATGTACTGGAACTTGAACACGCTCTCATCACAGTCGATCATAAACTGGAGGAAAGAATAAACATGGTGGGATATTAATTTTGCGGAGTTCTTACAAAGCTTGGCTTTTTCACATGCAAGAAGAGACAGGTAAACCAGTGGCAGATAACCTGTGAGTGAGTGAGAGTGAGAGAGAGAGAGAGAGAGAGAGAGAGAGAGAGAGAGAGAGAGAGAGAGAGAGAGAGAGAGAGAGAGAGTGAGTGAGTGAGTGAGTGATTGGGTGGGTGGGTGGGTGAGTGAGTGAGTGAGTGAGTGAGTGAGTGAGTGAGTGAGTGAGTGAGTGAGTGAGCGAGCGAGCGAGTGAGTGAACGAGTGAGTGAGACCACATGTTCCATTAAGTCACAAGCATAGGATGGTGGGCACCAATTCTAACCCAGAGTCCACCCAGGGGCTGAACTAATGAAATGAAACTATATATAGTGGACATTGAGTCTATGTTATGTACCTGGTACACTGCCTCCACATCACTACTGTTGACGATGTCCACGGTGCGAGTCCCAGTCTGATCCACATCAACCTCCATGAAGTTGATGATGTTGCAGCTGAGTTGTACTGTTGGACCTTCAAGAGAGATTGCCAACAAGTCCATTATTCCTTATGGTATTCAAACTTTAGAAATTGAATTCCACATAGCACACACGAGCTCACACCTAGTTCAAACAATTCTCGAGATAACACAATGGCGGATCAAGAGGAGGGGCTTTGGTGGTGCACAATCCCTCTTTTTTCAGACACGTTACACACTTTTCAGACGCTGCACCCTTGGCCAAGTCATCGCTTCAAGGGTATCATGTGAAACTATGTGGATTAGAACTAGATGCCACCAATTCCCAGCATTTTCCAAATCCTATATACGAGAGTGAGCAAGTTCCGGTTTAGCACCGTTTTGAACATTATTTCAGATACGTCACATGTCAGCTTGATTTTGGAGCAAAGCCTGAGGTGACACAGATCTCAAGTTACCACTTTGGTGAAACCCACGACCACAGATATGGTACTGACAAACCTAGAGAATTAACTGAGATGAACCCGGTTGAACCCACAATAATAAGTTCCTGGCGTGCTCAAGGGACATAACTCTACAGCACCTTAGACGGACTATCGTTCCCCTATTGACTTGGACAAGTGATCTGCATACCTTTGGAGGAACCCATGCACTTGACAATGCTCTTGCTGATGTTGCCAACAGCAGCGATGTTGAAGTAGTCAATGCTGGTTGTGTCAACTGTGTTGGGGCTGAACATCAACTGTGTGAGACAGTAACAGTGTTAATTTAAGACACGTGGGCAACAATCTCTGCTTCAACATGTGTGTAACCTCCAACATCCTGAAAGACTGCTTCAAAACAATTTTATAGGGATTATTAGTCTTGAATGTATCCTAATGTCCTCATGGTTGGGTAGGCTATCAATTGTACCTAAAGTCATGGCGATACAATCTAGGCCATCTATTAGACATTCCAAAATGTTCTTTTGTTCAGTTTTCAAATTTTGTATCAAGAAAAAATAAATTCATTGTGTAGTCTGGAAAGGAAGCCGCCAGTTTGAAACTAGTGCCATATAGCTTGAAGAAGCTGCTTTCTGAATGGTCAATGTCGACTTCTCTTTAATCATTATATTTGATCGGTCAAAGTCCACGAAAGGTTAATCAGATATGACCCATAATGGGCTGTAAGTAGATCTTTGTTTAGTGGTAGTGAGAAATAATATCTGATTTACTGAGATTGCCGACTGACCAAATATTTCACTATCTGAAAACAAATCTGCCCTCCAAAACAAAAGGACATTTCTATATGACTGCCCTCTGGAATTTTGGCTCAAGTTGCAGACTGGTATGTAAATTCTAAAGCTTAATAAGTTGCATGATAAGACTGACCGGTATTCTGACAGATGCCATGGGAGGAACAATGCCCATCTTCTGTGGACAGTGGAACACGGTGTCAATCCTGCTGACACCAGTGGGGTGTTCTACACGGAATGGAGCCCGCACCTGTAATAATACATCAAAGAGTTACTTAAGAGAGTGAGTTTGGTTTAACGCCGCTTTTAACAGTATTCCAGTTATATCACGGTGTGTCAGCTTAATGTGGGGGGAAAGCCCGAAGTGATGCAGGTCTCAGACGTTCACCAGTTCGGTGAAACCCACGAGCACGGGTATGGTGCTGACAAACCTAGAAACATAATCAGGGCGAACCGGGATTCGAACCCACAATCACAGGTTTCTGGCGTGCCCAAGGGACGCAACTCTGCACAGCGAATCGCAGCGCCTTAGACGACTGGGCCACCCGTGCCCCCAAGAGTTACTTAAAAAGGTCAATCTGGGAGTTAATATCACTCTTCACACTGTATCATATCATGTATATTCAGTATACTGAATGACACATTTCCAGGTAACATTATAAGTACTGTAGTTATTTTCTTTGTACAGGGTAACACATTGATTTTGATTTTTAACTATCAGCATAAATGATCTGCTATACAGTTGCCACCTAAATAATGGTAATAGTCCACAAGGAAATGTTACTCGCCCATCCTAAATTTTAGATTTGGATGAGTGGGCTTATCACTTCAAAACATGTAGAACAGAGTGAGTGAGTGGGTATGGTTTAATGCCCCTTTTAGCAATATTCCAGGAATATCACAGTAGTTGACACCTAAAGATTGTCTTCACACATTGCACCCATGTGGGGAATCGAACCCGGATCTATGGTGCGTTGAGCGAATGCGTTAACTACTTGGCTACCCCATTAACCCCTGTAGTTCAGAACTTCGACCAGTGTTTGAAATAAGTTTAAAACCCAACAAGACAGTCAGACAGGTGACCCATTAGTGTTGCCTGCCCATCTTCAGAGTTACCTGCCCACATTCAGGCATAATAAATATTGAAAAATCGCAAAAACTAAGAAACAAATCATGTCGGGGTTCCGTTGAAATATTGCAAACAACTACTTAAGAATCTACAAGGAGATATAATAATGCTGAATAAATAATAAGATGTCTTAAAATTATCTGCCAGATAGTCGGGCAGGTGAAGGAAGATTTCATGCAGCCCGACAGAAACGTTACACGCCACAGGCAAGCAGTAATTTCGCACACTGACTGTGACGAAGACCAACTAACGGTGTGCTACTTACTGGAGACAGATTGTGAAGCTCCACCCACTTTGTTATGGCAGAACCCACTGGCGTCTTCCCAAAATGAACTGCAGCCTCCAGGTTGTCTCTGTTGAGGTTGCTGGCAGGCTTACCTGGGCTTGACACCAGCAGGTGGGGATATTTACCTGGCGACCAATAACAGCAAGGTAAGGTACAATTTCAAAAGTATTTATTGGCAGACTAAACATTCCAGGTAACCCTAGCTTTGACACATATTGCAGATGTACCTAAACTTAAAATATGCAAGACTCAAATTTTCAAATAAATCAATGTAATGATAAGTAATAATTAGAGGTGAGTGGTTTTAACCGGTATATCACGATTTGAAATACTAATGAATACTTATCACAATATATTTGGAAAATACCGGAATATTGCGTTTTTCAAAATCATGCATATTTTCATCTTGTTGGCAAAGTTTACATAAGGGACAAGTCAAATTGAAATTAAGAATTTCAGAAATTAGCAACTGATTCATGTGAACAAAAATGCGAAACTATTCGCGACACGCTGCCGGTATATAATGTGTCTATAATGCATGCATTGTGACCATAGCAACAAAAAAACAAATGGCCGCCAACTACAAAGTTGTGCACAAAAATGTGCAGGGCAAGTCCGATGTTTGGGTCCATTTATAGTCAGGTTCATAACAAATTACAGATTGGAGAACGCATGCAATATATTGTGGTACATGAAACATTATTGAAAAACATTTGCAATTCAACATTGGCCAATATCAATCATTTGTAATAAATCTTCAAGACCATGACTTACCAATTCCCTTCAGTTTTGTAACTATCGACAAGGTTCCATCGACTCCGTACTTGCATAAGGCTTCAGCTTCATAGACCGTGGCTCCCTAGGAGAAAACGCATGTCATCAGTACCCACACTAATTAAACCAGTGCAGTCCAGATAAAAAGTATAAAGGTGAGGTGAAATGGGGTTTAACATCGCGTCCAAGATTATTGCACTTATATAGCGACGTGCATGTACGTGTGGGTGTTTGTGTGGCTGCTTGTACTAGTCCGGACTGATGCCGATTTATAGTGATAGCTCACTGAGATACCATGCCGCAGTTAAACATGAATATCCGAGCCGACCAGTCCTTGTTTTAGCCCCTTAATGCTGAACGCCAGACAGGATAACAACAAGTACCATCTTTTAATGTCTTTTGGTATGACTCAGCCGGGGATTGAACCCCGGATGTTCCACTCTCTACCACTAGACCACGGAGGCGGTCCTAAAAAGTATAAACAACCCATTATCAGATGTAATTCTCTGACAGTTAAGGAGTTAAGAAACTGAGATGTTCACGCTAATTCAAACTTTCCCAACTTGTGTAAAGAGTAGACAATTTGCTGGTGCTACCTCTGGTTTGAACGTGACCTTGAACTGACAGGAGGATCGGACAGGGAGGTTGGCTTCTGTCGGCTCGATGACAAATGGCTCCTTCACCTCCCACTGAATGCTGGTTTCTACATCTCTACATCAACATAAACACAGCCTTGTTTGAAACACTCGGAGAGCAAGCTTTTGTTGACAGTTGCATAAGTACAAGGCAGAAACTAGGCTGTCAAATTTACCTTGCATTGACAAGCGTCATTTATTTACCCTGCATTGTCAACACATTATATTTACCCTGCATTGACAAGAAATGTTATTTATTCACCCTGCATTGAAAAGTGTCATTCATTTACCCTGCATTGAAAACACGTTATTTATTTACCCTGCATTGACATCACGTTATATTTACCCTGCATTGACAAGACATGTTATATTTACCATGCATTGACAACAAATGTTATTTATTTACCCTGTATTGACAAGTGCCATTTATTTACCCAGCACTGACAGGAAGTGTCATTTATTTACCCCGCATTGACAAGAAATGTATTTATGCAGTGTCAACAAATTTGAGGTATTTATTCAGAGTTGACAACACCAAACATTATCTATTTATGATTTTATCCCTTGAATAACAAAAGTATCACACATATCATCGTGATTCATCCTGTATCCAACCAATGTTGAAAACATCCAATGTCATCTACTTCTGCTGGGTTGACAACAAATGTTATATATTTACCCAGTGTTGACAACATCAAATGTCATGTCCACAAAGTCCTTGGAGGCACACATGTCAAAGTCCAGACGTTCCGGGCTTTGAATGACAGTCTGTGGTAGAATAGCTTTGATACGAATATCAAAATCCCCGTCCTGGAAGAGAAATAAACATATCCCATTTATTTTTGTTCTTAAATGCTGCATGCAAACATGGTATCACTTTCAGAATCACATCAACTTCATTAAAACTTTATCTTTGTTTGCACTTTGTCATCTGCATCAAAGCTCACCTTTGTCCTGAACTGAATCTGGTCCTCATACTGTTTTTTCTCCAGCGGTCTGAATGTGATGGGGAGTGTGAAACTAGTGCCAGCACTCAGCACAATAGGCTTTGGGTACACAGTGCTGAAAAAACGGGAACTTGGCACTCTGGAAACAAATCAAAACATAGGATCAGATAAGAAACAATTAAAGAACATTGATGCACAATATACAGTCCTGAAAATCCTTTTAATTTCACAACCTGACTAATGAGGTTGGACAATGAAATATTTGAAGATAGCATATAATGATATATGTTTCGAAGTGTTGTACTTAATAAATGTAACTATAAGAAATATATTGTTAATTTGGAGATTACTGAGGTATGGATCTAACCTTCATTAAAAACTCTCAATGCAAAAGATTAAAAATGACAAGAGCTTACTTGTATCTAAGCTTTTGTGTTTTGATCTGCACATTCTTGAGGACAATATTCTTGGTGTACTCCCTCCCAGGTTCCCAGCCCTGCCACAACAGCTGTTCTGTAACTTCCAGTCCATTCTTGTTGACCCTGCCAGTGGGTGCCACCCCCGTAGGAAGAAGGTCTGTTTTCACCTTCCCGATGTTGCCATATGTTGATGGGGTCATCTGCTGGGCTACTTCAGCAGTAGGCATTTTGCTTGTTTATGTCTTCCTCTGTTCTACAGAAACATTAAGAGTTATATCGTCTTCAATCAACAAATTGACACATTCTGCCATCAAACAAAACACAAGTGTATGTTGGGCTCAATACTTCATTGTATATTATTATATATTATATTATTGTATATTATTTCAATCACAGCATGACAACTGAGTGTAGGAGGCCCCTCTGAAGTTTCTCATAAGAATTGGTCTTCAACAGTCCAGTGATTACTTTCTAAATGGCAATACAGTAATATTTAGTGATATTTCTGTGTTGATGTCCAATTTACAATGTTTATGAAATGCTTCGAAATTCAGTTTGAATGTTTAATCATATTAAACAATACAAATGCAGGATTTAATTTTTTTCTGCTCAGTTTGAGCTTCATCACCCTGTTTAACAAATAGTCATGTTCTCTCATGCTGATAAATACATAGCACCAAAGGTGAGGTGAGGTGAAATTGGGTTTAACGTCGCGTCCAAGATTATTGCACTTATATAGCGACGTGTATGTGTGTGTGTGGCTGCTTGTACTAGTCCGGACTGATGCCGATTTATAGTGCTAGCTCACTGAGATACCATGCCGCAGTTTAACATGAATACCCCACTCAGACACAGTATACTGACTCCGAGCCGACCAGTCCTTGTTTTAGCCCCTTAATGCCGAGCGCCAGACAGGGTAACAACAAGTACAATCTTTTAACGTCTTTTTGTATGACGCGGCCCGGGATCGAACCCCGGACCTTCACATCCTACCCATCTCTCATCTAGATCTATTCATGGAATTAACAAAATAAAGATTGTCCAAATGCAAATAACTTATCATTCTCTACAGTGCATAATAGCATCACATACAGACAAAGAGTTGCTCTATCATTCATAACATATACATATATGAGAATCTAATATGTATACAAAACATATTGGCAATTGCAACAAAGTAAACATGAAAAAAACAACCAAAATAAACCAGTTGAGAGCATACTTCTTTTATGAAACTGATCTCGGCCTCTTATGTAGAGAGAGTCAAATAACTAGTGCACCAAATGAGCTGTGTCACCTTTGCTGTATTATCTACGATCATTAGGCATTGAAAACCATTTCGCCAAGTAACTGTTCTGAAAAAGTAGATCTACAACACATCGACAATGTTTCTCTCTCAAATTCATTGATCATGTTTACTTTCAAGATTGGTTATGACGAATATAACTTCCACGATTTCAAAATGCTCAAGGTGACAACTTCAAAACTTGAAATCAGAACGTTTTGCTTACCTTATCTGTGACAATTTATTCTTAATTTCTATCCATGACAAGGTTTAGCTAATGTTTATCGGGTACCGCAGTGAAGACGAGATCCGCCATCTTGTAAACTAAAAACAATCATGGCGGAAGTTGCCAGGCAACGCAGATCCAAGTCTGGTTTCCTGGGTAGGCGGCGCTTGCGCTACGCGTTTGCAATGCAGTTACCTCCCTTTCCGTTAGGATTCGCAATCTGACTATTCACTTTGTTATCTTTGTTTATGAATAACAAATCGAGTTTAACGAGGTGTTCTCTTTGGCGATGACTGGGGGACGTATGGGCAACCGAAAGGGAAATAGATGCACTGTCAGTGTGTCCATCTGTTGGTTTAACCAGAGCCCATATAATATCTATTATATGGTCTCTGGTTTAACATAAATGTTTTGTATGTATGTGATCTATGTAAGAAGAATATCAATTACATGTATATCATTAAAGACGACTTGAATTCCATTAATTATGGAAAACATTTCACGACAATAATACGACCGACACATTTTGTACTTACCATGATTACAGTAACGTCGTGCAAGACATTTTACGTACGCTTCAGGGACTATTAGCAATCCGCGAGTTTATGTTATCTTTCAATGTTGATATTTATTGTAACAAATGTTATTTTTGGGCTAACACTTTCTTAGTAAAGTTCAGATTCTCGTAATTTGGGGGATTTAAGGTGCCTCACTCTGGCGGTGTGGGATCGAATCCCGGACGGGACTGAACCCCAAAATGTACGAGAATCTGTACTTTACTAAGAAAGTGTTATCCCAAATATAACATTTGTTACATTTGACCACTTTCTAAGTAGAACTGTGTGTTCATTGATATTTATTGTTTGAAACTGCATTGCACCCTTATACGTTGGACATCACTTTTAACTGTGCGAGGATAGTATGTAGTGTTGTCATATAAAAAATGTGGTGTACGCGTGTTTCACCCTCGCTCTAATAATTGTGTTATCACTGGGAGCATTGTTGCACTGTGGTGATGTCTTGCGTCAAGGTGTTCTTGTTTTCTTGTGTTTGCCCATTTAAGTCGGGACTCAAGTAAGTGCCGTGCTTGTATTTATCTCGGAAGGCCTTTGGGGGCGTTATCTGAGGCAGGCGTTGTTTTGTATCATGTTTTATTCACAATATTGTCTCTTCGTTGCGTCGGATGAACCAGCGTTTGTTTTACGATTTACCGAATGTTAAAAAAAGACTGGGCACAGGCCCCTGAAGCAGGATCTTGTCTATTTATATATATGGGTCCACTGTTTCAGTTATATCACTATCCTGCTTCAGGGTCCTGTGGTCAGGTATATGTTCCAAAGTTTGCGTTTGGAAATTAAAGCTTGTTCCCGCCTCTCTGTGCCCGTTGTCAAGTTATTTCGCTTTATATCTTTTAAGAATCTTCCAATTCCGTTGGTTAATCAGTACCACATTACAAAGCAATACATTTCAATGTTGACCCCAAATCATGTGACTGACACTAACCTCGAGTATTGATTCGTCACATGATCAGTATTGACCTGTCACGTGATGAATGATGACACCTGCTAGAAAACAACATGGCGTCTGCTATACTAACATTTTACGGTTCGCAGCGAAGTTATTGTGATGGAACAGAGGGTGGTTTAAAAAATGGATAAACTTTAAATTGAAATTCTGTATAACAAAGCGAATGGTGACTTTTGATGAGGTCAATTTGAGAAAACAAGGAGTCTCGGACCCGACCCCTGCGGTACCGGTCTTGTCAAACCACCTCGGGGGTCGGGTCTTCGGGTTCTTGTTTTCGCATATTGACCTCGTAAAAACTTTTTTTTTTGTATGGTGATATGAAGAGACGGGGCCCAGCTTGACTTTACAATAGGGGCATTGTGACGTACACTTTATGACGTCACAGTGGCTACATGAACACACATAGTGACGTAACTATGCATTTCATCACCAATATCATTCCGTAACCGGAAAGACACGATTGATCGCGAATTGAATAAATGCCTTCGAAATATTGCCATTAACCTAATTTAATCTCCTAGAATAATAAAATCTCCTAGTCATGTACTCTTACTAAAATATCGAGTGAGTTGGCTCGTGAGCGCGAGGGCTCGTATCTATGGTATATATCGAGAAGACATGACACTTAAACAGAAAATGTATACAGAGCAATGAGTGAGTGAGTGAGTATTCAAGTTATATCACGGCGTCCCTTTGGCACGCCAGAAACCTGATTGTGGGTTCGAATCCAGGTTCGCCCCGATTATGTTTCTTTGTTTGTCAGCACCATACCCGTTCTCTTTGGTTTCACCAATGTGGTAAACGTCTGAGACCTGCATCACTTCGGGCTTTCCTCCCACATTTAGCTTTCACTCCGTGATATAACTGGAATACTGTTCAAAACGGCGTTAAACCCGACTCACTCATTCCTCGTTAAACATTTTGCGCTCGGCAAAGACACTATCTTGCAAGAAAAGAATCTATACCCCGTACCAGAGACCATATAATAGAGGGACGGCCCTCCCAAACAGTTTATCATAAACCATCAGCGCTACGGTCTGGCATGTAACTAATACACCCCGACACCCTGCTGTTAACCTCCCTGTACCGCTGCAGATGCGCAATAGATGCGCAGACATTCACGACTGACCATTCTGGTAACCACGTAAACAATATTACATCATATCCGGGGTAAGAGTTAATTCCCTTATCCGAGATTTCTCCGACTACGACCAGCAACAATCCAATAAAAGGACGTCTCTTAGCGGATTACAAAGATCCGTTTTATGATATCTCTCACTAGCACATGTCAATTGGCTGCAAATTATTTGCTGAACATGTGTGTCTTCCGGGACATTTATTTCAATTTACATTCGCCACAGCCATGGACGACTTCATTCACTTGGACGATTTCGTCTTGGACCTAGATATGCCACTTGAAGAATTCCCACTCTTCGACCAGGGGTTGGTTTCGGATGACTCTTAGTCTAAATAGAATGACAGTGATGTTACCGCTACCAAGCCGTTGGTAATACCTCCCAAAACGTTTCACTCAAAGAAAAAGATAGGAAATGAAAATATGACGTCTGTCCACAAGCGTAAGTTTTCGAGGGCGTGTGAAGAAAATTGTTTTAAAAATCGGTTAATATATCTCATTTTATGCTGCAATGGTTATAAATAAACAAATATACCAAATCTACTACGAACGCCACAGAAAACTACGATCCGGTAAATTGCACAGGAACTCAGGAAGTGTAAATAAAACTCATCCAGAAGCAGGGAAGACACTTGTAACATATCACCATATTCCCGATGTTCACAAAATATATCTCCAGATTAACTTCATATCTGATAATAAGTCCAGACTAGATTTACTTGCAAAAATGCATGATCACCGACTGGTGTAAATGATTTACTATTAGCCAGAAAAATAATGACGCCATATTAATGTTGTTATTTCATGTAAATTCACTACTATTTTATAATGCTAATAGTTCCAATGAATTAAAAATACACATTAAACTACGAGCGTTGTTAAATGAATTTTCGATGTGTCCGACAATGGGCTTCGAAAGAATCAAATGTTATTGGTTAATGCCAGTTTGGGGCTAGCAGTCATAATGGGGTTTGCCGGAGAAGTTTTTTTCAAAGGGAGGCTATACTGTTAAATTTCAATGCAAAGAGGACGATTGTAATTTTACAATCGTTATTTAATATTACCCGATTAGATTGATATTTCAGCATACAAATAATTAGGTATTTCAGGTATAACAATATAGCTTCAACGAGCATGGTACCAGATATGTACTAGTATATCGTAAACTGTAGTAACGTTTGTAGTTTTCAAAATTGTTTCATCATAGTTTTCTATTTATATCTGATCAATGAAAAACAAACTTTAAACTCTAACCTGGAACGAGGCATGCAACTATTACTATTAAAACAAAACAAAACATCACAAACTCTGACATATGTAAATGTATTTTTCATAGAAAAAGGACAATAGACCATCTATATATTTTACTGAATGACACCTTCGACCTTGTTGTCTGGAACTTCTCTCCCGACGACTGCTGATATAATCCTTCTTCTTTCTTAGCATTTACAAAGCAAATGATAATTTTATAATACAAATATTTCATGTAACGGATTTTTATTCGTGTATGATGTTTTCATTGTTGTGTAAATACACAAAGTAAGTAGTACCTTCATCATATTTACATTATTATGATAGGCCAAGATCATTTGCTCATAATCAATATTTACACGGCATAAAATAAATAATTGATTAAATGAAGTCATGATTAATACAGACAAAATCTAGAGAAGATAACAAATATGTAGTATTGTAGTATGTAGTGCGCGATATGTGATAGAAGCCTAACTGAAACAAAGTTAAACTTACGAAGAAATGGCGAAAGCAATGGTAAAAAAAATACGCGTCATACAGAAAAAATTCTAATATCATACAATATAAGTCACTTTGTAGAATGTTTCAAAAGATATATGCGGATGATAATCACAGACAAAATGCATGTTATGTCGTCTGCTATATGGTAATTTAACTTAAAATATATGACGTAAAATATGGCCTTGCGCCAAAAATCATACAAAAAAAACTACCGATCGTACCTAAATAACTTTGGTACCAAGCCAAAGGGGAAATCGTGATGAATGTAAAACTATTAAATTCAAGACCGATAATAGGAACACATTCGGCTGAAAGCATGCGAAAATTAAGAGTTGTGGTGTGATTACAAGTATGTCGGGAAAATTCAGATTTAGTCCCATTTCTTGAGTCAAAATCTGAAATTTCGCATCCGCCCTAAATTTGTTAATGGCACTAAGTCATTTTTTAACATATCTCCTTTTTATACACTTCGGTAACCAAGGACTTTCATTGCGAATTAGAGGCGAATTATTAAAAATCAAAATCTGCACTTTTGCCGATTGTACATTTGCGCCATTTTGTTTTCTCGGACAAAGACAAAGCGTGATCACAGTCATCAAATACAGTGTCAACGACATGCTTTAGGGCACCAACAAATCTCAGTTGTAATGTTAACAATGTTAAGAAATACATGAGTGTAATTTTGTATTGTGAAATATATTATTTGCATGGGAAAAAAAGGCGACAACGATGACTGCAGTGAACGCGTTTCTGCTCAATCCCGGACAGGCTGCGCAGTACAAGCCGTAGCACTGATGGTTTCGCGCATAGGCTAGAGGGCCGTCACTCTATTATATGGTCTCTGCCCTTACGTATACAAAACGACACCCAAATGCCATTATCCTACTGTTTGTCAAACAATAAGAATGCGACAGACAATCATTCTTGTTCAACAAAATGTTTTGTTACGTTCCTGCATCAATGGCGCCTAATAACAAGACGTATCAATGTCGCACCAGCTTGTTGTTTGTGCGTTTACTTTATTATTAAGTGACCCGTGAAGATCCAGGATAGAATATCTCTTCAGCAAACCATGCTTGCCGTAAAAGGCGAGTATGCTTGTCGTAAGGGGCGACTAACGGGATCGGGTGACCGCCGTCATAGAGCTGAAATATTTCTGAGTTCGGCGTTAAACAACAAACCAACCAACAAACCAAATAACTGTATTAAGTAAACAGGTGTTTTTTTCCCCATTTCCAACTCCTTCTCTGTCTGTTGGGGATGAGGGGTCGGGGTGGGGTAACATCTGTCGAGGTAAGCGGGTCCACTAGCCTACATCCAAATCTGGTTTCCACACTAGGCTTTGATAAAGGCGTGTTGACACTCTTGTCTCGGGAGGATGGTGTTGGGTGCACATGATAGTTTGTTTGTTGTTTAACGCCGCACTCAGTATTATTCCAGCTATATAACGGCGGTCTGTAAATAATCGAGTCTGGACCAGACAATCCAGTGATTGTTATCATGAGCATCGATCCACACACTTGGGATACGATTTGAAAAACTGGAGACGAGTGTGGTTTAGCGATGAATCACGATTTCTTCTTCATCGGCCAGATGAATGACAATGTGTGTGGGGGGTGGGGGTGGGGGGTGGGGGGTGGGGTGGGGGGGGGGGGGGGGGTGCTCTGGGAATATTAACAGCAAATCGCTACATGATTCAAATTCAACCTCACCTTCTTCCAATCATTGAGGGAGCTGTTTAACAGGATAACACTCCACCGCACACAGCTCGTGTCACGGTAGACCACCTTCATAATGTCAACATCAACATTTTGCCCTGGTTGTCGAAATTTCCAGATCTCTGGGATGAACTCGATCGACGTGTACGTCAACGTCAGAACGCGTCGCAGACACTCCCACAACTGGCCAACGCGTTACAAGCAGAATGGCGCAGAATTCCGCAGCACAGAATTCGCACACTTATCCAGTTAGTGCCGAGGAGATACAGAGTTGTGATTTCTGCACGGGCCAGTCACACGAGATACTGAGTTCCGCGCAATCATGTGGCCTTATGTGACATGACAATGAACAGTTCTCAGTGTCTTTGTACAACGACAACATGTGACTATCGAGCTCCAAACTTTCATATTTGTATCTATGATATTAAATTAAATATATCAATTCTATTAGGTACAATAAATTTACTAAAAATATAACTGTGCGTTTCTTTTCTTTTTAACAGTGTATATAGTTTAAATTATCGTTTTATTGTCTCCCTTGCTAATACTGACTGAAAGTTTACCATGTATTGGAGACGTATTATTTCTTCCGGGTAGCTCCCGCTACTGGAACGTGTCCAATCTGATTGTCATGACAGTGTATTGTGTAACATGGGCCCATATAGCAGGTGGGACATGGTGCACAGCAGGAGAGGCTTAAATACTCCGCTGCAAGCATGGCAGCAGCTCACGGACTTGATGTAAGTGATTTTAATTTGTATTTTTCAAATAAGCAGTTTTTGTGTTCAATGTTAGTCACGGTGCATGATCAAAACTATTTTATTTGTAGAGTATCGATTCGTTCTATAATCCCCCATTTCTTCTAATTTATTATTTATTTTACTTTATCTTTTATATTTTAGTTGTTTCATTTCATATTGTTTTGTTTTGTTTTGATGTCATTACAGTGATCTCAATTAGATATATTTTCTGGGCCCCCAAAGTAAATTGTAATAGGTACAATTTCATTGTTCCATTCGACTGGCAATAAACATAACTATCCTTAGCTGAATCTAAGCACGTCTACAAATTTCTTTATCTGGTCTGTTGTAATCAATTAATAAATCGTGAATTAGCGTATGTGATTCTAAGCAATATTATCATGTCACCTCACGGCTAAATTGAAAAAGTTGAATCACTCAAAATTACATAAATTTCTAAACTTTTTAAACTCAGCCTCTGGCTGATAGCGATGAACCCAAGATCCATATAAACAAAATCCGCTGGCTCGGCGTTAAAACAACGTAAATAAACGTGACGCGTGGGAGCTGTCGATCATCAATAATCACATCATTTATTTTATCAACATTTTCTTTAATGGTGGCAGTTTAGTGCTTCCTGATCTTGTATCATCTTCAAGCTCTCTCTTTCCTTCTTGAGGTGAGGTGAAATGGGGTTAAACGTCGCGTCCAAGATTATTGCACTTATATAGCGACGTGCTTGACGTGTGTGTGTTTGTGTGGCTGCTTGTACTAGTCCGGACTGATGCCGATTTATAGTGCTAGCTTATTGAGATACCATGCCGCAGTTTAACATGAATACCCCACTCAAACACAGTATACTGACTCCGAGCCGACCAGTCCTTGTTTTAGCCCTTTAATGCCGAGCGCCAGACAGGGTAACAACAAGTACCATCGTTTAACGTATTTTGGTATGACGCGGACGGGGATCGAACCCCGGAACTTCCGCTCTCCGGGCGGAAGCTCTACCACCAGACCACGGAAGCGGTCTTTTCCCTCTTGAACTGACCTGCCCATGCAACACGCCCATCTCATGGCTGTTTGTGTTTCGACCATTATCATTATCAGAGAACACCTAGTCACTTTGATGCCTTCAGAAATACGCTGCCTGTAAACATGGACAGTATCTAGTCGGTATATGCACACAGTTAAAGTAGTTTAATACACCCTTCGTAGTGCCACTCAGACTTATTCAGCCAGCCCTCCTATGTCAAGACAAGACAAGACAATTTATTCAATATAGAGGCCATTGGCCCAAAATACAGACATATCAAGCTTTCATTTCTTAACGCTAATATACATCCACACACACACACACACACACACACACACACACACACACACACACACACACACACACGTACGTACATACATACATTGATATAAGCATCGATCCACGCAATAAACACACACACACACACACACACACACACACACACACACACACACACACACACACACATATATATATATATATATATATATATATATATATATATATATTGCATGGATCGATGCTCCTGATATCAATCACTGGATTGTCTGGTCCAGTTTCGATTACTTACAGGCCGCCGTCATATAGCTTGAATATTGCCGAGTGCATCAAACACACACACACACACACACACACACACACACACACACACACACACACACACACACACACACACACACACACACACACACACACACATACGTACGTACATACATTGATATAAGCATCGATCCACGCAATAAACACACACACACTCACACACACACACACATATATATATATATATATATATATATACAAAAATGAGGTAAATGTTCACTCGGTGTACATGTAATATATAATAAAATAATAAAGTCCACGTTAGTCCATCATCTTCTTTATATCAGTTTCATACATAGTACTTTCGCTGTCTCATGACAGCTCTTCAGTGTAACTGACAATGACATATAATGACGTCATACTTATGATGACGTCATAAATTACAACTGTGACGTCACAATGTATTTACACACTCCAGCGACGACACCAAGTAATTTAACAATTGTAGGGAGACTTTTGAATTAAATATACAGTATTTGTAAAGTAACAGTGCAACATTTACGATTGAAATGACAAATCTATTAATACATTCTAGAGTTCAACTTTGGTTTCATCAATTGGATAAACATTTGTTCTTTTTCCAGTCTCAGCTGCTTGTTACTTGTATACAATTTATAAAACGGAAAAATAGTAAATTTCCCGTTTCCGCAATCATCAATGTGTTTGCTGACACCTAAGCATCGAACATTAGGGTCTCTAATCTGCTGTTTGTGTACAGTGACTCTATCTTTTAATTCCATGCCGGTTTCACCGATGTAGTTTTCGCCGCATCCCGAACATCTCATAACATACACCACATCTTTGCTGCGGCAGTTCATGTCGGCTTTCACATTGAAACCCTTGCCATTTGCAAAAAGGAAAGTAGTACCTTCACTTATGATGTTACACGTGCCGCATCTTGGTGTGTTACATCTACTTACACATGGTACACTCTCTGTACAAGAATATTTGGATGGACAAAGAATCTGCTTGAGATTTTTTGGTTGCCTGGTACTTTTTATAATTTTAAATTTATTCAGTCCTTGTTTCATTTTATCGCTTTGCTGTAGAATTGGGAGGTTGTCCCTTATGACTGGCATGATATCACAATTATTAGGATTAAAGGTGGACACAAACGGTATAATTTGATCGCCCACAGATTTTTCATTAGGTTTCAGGAGAGTATGTCTTGGAATTTTTAAAGACTTTTCTATTGCGTCATTTATGACGCGAAGCGGATATCCTAGCTTCCTGAGATACCCCATTAATTCTTTCAATCTTAAATCTCTTTTATCCGTTTCCGACACGATGGTACATACTCTCCGCGCAAGTGAATGTTGCCTGGTATCGGGCCACCCGAAGTTATGCTAGTGTTGTGAAAACTAACCAGCAAGCTACTTCAAACCACTCTACTCGATTGAAGCGAGGTCAGAGCGCAAGACGGAACGAGGCCGCGATGTCGACGAGACCAAAACATGCAGAATATTTGAACCACTTTAAATCAAATCGCACATACTATCATGGGAACCAGGAAAAACGTTTCCTGCGTGGTACAGGACGCGGAAGAGGACGTGGCACAGAACAAGGAAGAGTCAATAATATACAGCATGGTGATTACAGCAGACCAAATAATGCACAACGCGAGGAATACAACAGATATTTTTTAGGGTACAGCCACCAAAAAAGGCACAGATTCAAAGAAATGTGACTGCTGCAGAAGAAAAACAACGCGTTGACCCGAAAATAATTAACATTTCTAAAAGACAACTCACTACAGCTGAAATAACTTTACTAAAACGGGGTCTAAAGTTCACGCCAACTCCGTCACAGAATCACGAAGAGCTTAAAGTGGACATTCATGCATTCAGTAGAAGACTGAGACTCATGGAATATTTTGAATGCGATGATCAAGAGGATGATATATCCGTTTCCGATAAAAATTCGATCACAAATAGACCATTATTAAGGAACAAAAGCATGTTCAATCCAAAAAAGAACAGGGATAAATACCTTGATGACTACTTAAACAACCTGGAGAAATATCCTCTACGGAACATCAGGAAGTGCCATCCAAACTTATCACTGGAAGAACGTAAAGCTGTGGAGGATCTTAAAAATGACAAATCGATTGTTATTAAGGAAGCAGATAAAGGCGGCGCAGTCGTAATAATGGACTCGGAATATTATGAATCAAATATGTATGAATTATTGCAAGACAAGGAATTTTACATTGAAACAGATAATACTGAAAAAGCTGTAATTAAGAAGATTAAAAAACATAGTGATGACTTCTCTGGAGATCTACACCCTAAAGAAAAAGACTACTTAATAAACAGTGACCCGCAGACGGCCAATTTCTATGGACTACCCAAGATCCATAAAAGTAAATTGATAAATAATGCTATTGCCGAACAGAATGCGGAGTATATCGAAATTACCAGCTGTCCTGATTTGACATTCAGGCCGATTGTCGGAGGACCGAACAGCCCGACTCAGCGCCTAAGTAATCTCGTCGATATCATTTTAAAACCATTAACAAAGCATGTACCGAGTTTTGTAAGAGACGATGTAGACTTTCTTTCCCAGCTGCCCGATGCCGTACCTATTGATGCGACTCTAGCCACCTTTGATGTGAAGAGTTTATTTACCAACATACCCCATGATCTGGGATTGGAAGCAGTTCAGTTTTGGCTGAGAAAACATCCTGAGGCTATAGACACTGAATTTTCGGAAAGTTTCATTATGGAATCTTTAAGATTAGTCTTAGAAAATAATACCTTCTGTTTCAACGGAAAATTCTATCATCAAAGAAAGGGAACGGCCATGGGAACGAAAGTCGCCCCAACATACGCTACACTTGTGATGGGTTACATAGAGGATATTCTTTACAGGAAGGTACACGATTCCATGTCAGAATCCATTGCCAAACATGTGCGCGAAACTTGGAAGCGATTCTTGGACGACTGCTTTTTAGTTTGGCTCTCAACCCGTGAAAATTTAGACATTTTTCTGGATATTATTAATAAGCTCCATCCTTCCATCAGTTTTACTATGGAGTCTAGCGAGAGCAAAATTCCATTTCTGGACGTCCTTGTAGTTAAGGAAGATACTAAATTGAAAACTGATATCTACTACAAACCAACGGACACCCATCAATACCTACAATTCGGTTCATGTCACCCCAGGCATACACGAACTAACATTCCTTATTCACTTGCGCGGAGAGTATGTACCATCGTGTCGGAAACGGATAAAAGAGATTTAAGATTGAAAGAATTAATGGGGTATCTCAGGAAGCTAGGATATCCGCTTCGCGTCATAAATGACGCAATAGAAAAGTCTTTAAAAATTCCAAGACATACTCTCCTGAAACCTAATGAAAAATCTG